TTGGGCGACAAATGCATCTCCAAGCGACTCTGAGCTGTATCCTCGGAATTTCAATGCACCGGGTCTCCGAAGTCGAGATGTGGAGGAAGGTTGGGGTAAGTGGTGTCCAGGCTCTCTTCACTGTTGCCACTTGAGGTCCCTGCATGTTCGTCACGAAACCCGTCTCATCCTCAAGTTGCCCTGGAGATCCCTGGAGATGGCGTAGTGCAGAACAAGCTACATCCCGGAACGTTCAACACCAGGCTGTTACACCTAGTCTTCGCAGCTCGGGCTCTCTTGAATCAGCGCGTTGCTCGCGGAAGCTGGATCCTGGTTCACGAAGGCCTGGATTTTTCAATTTCGGAGTTAGGGCCCTCGAAAGGATGCTTGTCCTTGAGCAGGGGCTCGAGGACTGCAGTTGCTAGTGTTGTTGCTACCTCTGGTGTGGCAAGCACAGGCTCGCTCACACGGCGCTTAGGGACTCCCGGAATGGGCGCAACATGGACAGAACAAATGTGAAGCTTGTTCCTGTACGGACGGCAGACTTTTCCGACTGGTCATCAACACCTACGCCCACTCCTGCACCGTCCTACTCACTCTGTCCGGGTGTTTTTGCTGGTGTTCTTGCAACTTCAAGGTTGTTGTGCGATGAAGCTTGACATGGAGGCACTTCGTCGATGGTCATATTGGCAACTTGATGGAGAGCCATGCGTCAAATCTGCTTCCGAGGTCTATTGTCGGACCGTCCAGCCTCTCTGAGCAGCACGTACTCGTTCTTGTTGATTCGGGCCGTGCTGTCAATGTCGCTGGCGAAAAACATGGCCTTAGCATGGGCGATGCTCAGGACCACCAGCAAGCTACATGGTACAGCTGCCTAAAGGTTGATCGACGTGGGTTCTCTCACTTGACGACTTTGGTCGCTGAAACTCGGAAGGGCATCTCCTGTTCAAGCTTGTCACTTCAAGACTCGCCCTGCTCCACAGTCAAACCCTGCTCATCACAGACTCCCAGTGAACCCAGTACTGAAACCGTAGAGCTTTCACCGAAATCCTCGTAAGATAAGCCCGCCCCAACCCATCCACCCAGGAGCCAGCCGACGGTCAGCTTGGACAGGTCTAGGACCAGACACTCCAAGAATGGGATGATGCGTGCAGATACAGCTAGCTTCCCAATAGATAGTGAGTACAAGGAACAGCAACTAGGTTGTGTGGACAACTCCACTGCTACGCTGGTTACAAAGACAACACGATGCTGTTCGTTCGGCCAGGTCGCCCGGGCGGCCAGGCGGCTGAAGCCCCAGTGTTGAGCTGCGGCGCCCACGAAGGTCTCCTGAATGCAGGGATTCACGGACTTTGGCAAAGCTCTTCGTAGGGAGCTCCAAAAAAAGCCCCGGAGAACGCTTTGGGTGAAGTTGCATACGGAACAGAGATAAGAACAGCAAGCAAGAACGCCGAGCCAAGAGGGAAAGGCCATGACAAGCGCAACACATGAACGACAGTAGTTGGGACACGCAATCAATGACACTCACCATGCGCAGCCGTGCTCTGCCAGAGGTCTTTTGACGGTACGGTTCATGGCTCCGTCAGAAATGTGCTGATGTTCGTGTGTTGGAAACATAGCGCAAGGCCGGGATGTAGCCGTTCTAAATGGGAAGGTCGAAAGACCTGCGCTTCGCTTGAAGTGCGGTTGCACGGCAAAGCCAAGGCTTCCCCTTGCCACGGACATCCTGATCCCTGGCTGAAGACCAGGTGTGAGCAAGACCTGTTGCTGTTGAACATGCTCGCAAAACTCCCGGGAAATGTATGAACATGTCAGAGTATGGGCATAAGCGTACAAGTGTCGGATGTTGACAGCCGCCCGCATTCCCGGCCCCTGCAAACATAAGACGACGGGCTATCCAAGACACAGGAACCCGAAACGTGACCGGCCCTGTCTCCTCCGTCATAAGCTCCTTGGATGCGCTTGCAGGGCTGGCACCACCACTTCAAGCTTTACGCCGTTAGTGCTTTTGAGAATTCTGTTTGTTGGGTTGAAGCCGAAAGTTGCCAGATTGGCACGTGTTGGCGTGCGTGCATCGGTGGGCGGGCGGGCGCGCGGATGGATGGATTCATGGATGGATGCATGTATGCATGCGTGTACGCATGTATGCTGCGTGCGCCGACTGGCAGTCAAGATCTGAGCAGCAACCACAGACCGATATCTCACCCACATCCGCCACTCGACTCAACATCTGCATTCGGCACTCTGGACCCAAGGAGTCTCCCCAGCTCTGCATCCGGAACCTTGCAAAGCACACCAAGTCTGAAACTCCTAAACTGCACAGGCACTGTGCGCCGGAAATCCTTAGCTAAAAATTCTTAGTATAGCTCTATATCCGACTTTGCAGTTCCAGGTGCTCCATCCTGTGCGGACCACTGAATTCCTAGCAAGCCAGGGAGTCGGGGAGGTGGGGCATTGGAATGGTTTAGAGTGCTTTTGGGGGCTTGAAGGGTTGTGGCTGTGGGTTTGTGGCGGTTCGGTTTCAGGATTGGCGGTTCGGTTTCTGGATTTCGGTACTCACACCCGAGCCAGATTATGGGGTCACCAATTCCTCAATCCCTGCCCCACCCCACCTGGCCCGCTATGTCTGAGACCTCAAAGCCTGAAATCCAAGCCCTGGATCCCAAACATGCTCTCGCCTTCCTGTTCCACCCCAAAGCTCCGACTCACTGCAGATCCTACCTCCGAACCCGTAAGCTCGCAAACTCCCGAAGCTCGAAGCCCCAAAACTCTACAGCTCTGAACCAACTCTGTGAATCTTCTTTCTTCATCATTCCGCCTGCCATGATGATGAGGATAGCAGTAGTAGTAGCAGCAGCAGCAGGATGAGGAGTAGTAGTGGTAGTGGAAGTAGTAGTTAGTAGTGGTAGTGGTAGTGGTAGTGGTAGTGGTAGTAGTGGTAGTAGTAGTAGTAGTAGTAGTAGTAGTAGTCGTAGTCGTAGTAGTGGTAGTAGTAGTCGAAGTAGTCGTACTCGCAGTGGTAGCAGTAGTCGTAGTGTCAGTTGTAATGGTAGTGATGATGATATAAATAGCCATAGCCACCGATTGTGATGATACTAGTATATAGTAGTGACGGTGATAATAATATTGACAGTCATAGAGTCATAGTGATAGTCACAGAGCAGGTAGTAGTACGTAATAAGAACAACAAATGTATAACCATAAACGATAAGCAAAGTTGTCCTTCCTAGGCTTCTTCTCCTGATCATTGTTGTACTCTGACGACGAAATCGTTTTCAGGAGGTTTCATCAATAGAGTTATCGCAGTCGCAGCACTGCAGCATACCACTGCTGTTGTCACTGTTGCCAGTGTTCCCGGTATTCTCAGCCCTGCGTTCCGAGATGCTGTCGAACTCCAAGTCGGACTCGTCTCTCCGATCTTGCCTTGGCTTCGGTCTTCTGTTAGGCGCTGGGGGTCAGCGTTTCTTGAGGTTAGGGCGCAGAGGTCTGATCAGGACTGACTGGGTTTTAGGTTGAAGAGGCCCGAAGGCAGGACTTCGAGGTTTGCAGGTTTGGGGCTTTTGGGGTCGCAGGGCATGAGCTTGAGGAGTTGAAGTCCTATGTTGAGACCCTACCACTCTACGGCATGATTCTGCCAGTCTGTTGTCATGGTGCGGTGCTGTTTTCTTATGGCCATTCCCTGCGTTCAAGCTATTTCGTCGGCCTTGCGGGCATCCAGGAGTTGAGTTGAGGTTTGGGATTCCGGATTTTGTGCATGTTGCATGCGGAGCTTGGTTAGGATTGAGGGCTTCGGGTTTCGGTTTTTGACACTCACACTCGGACAAGCCTGGCAAGGTCTGCAAAGATAGGTTCGACGAAACTACATGATCACCCTGAGTTGTCGGTGTCACATACTCAGGTCGCTGTCAGACGGGACCCAGAAAAGGCCAACCAGCAAGTGTACAAGCATAACACATGGTCTCAACTGACAGCAGCCCCTCAAAGTGCAAACACTAAACCAGTCACACCCCACGACCTAGTTGGGCTCTCTGAGGGACTTGTGAAACGCAGACTGGCAACTAGTGGTACACTCCTCATCCGGCGATTGTCATACCCCTTCGTACTTCTCTCATGCAGAAACATGCAGTTGGCACCATGCACATGGCAGCAGCATGCAGCAAGCGTGGCGTCCAAAACAGCCATCTCTCCATGACGCGCAGAATATGTATGCGTAAGTTCGCATCCAGACTTGTCCAGAACTGTGTGTGGAGGCAGCGCTGTAGAGTGTATGCAGGCATGCATGCATTCCATCTGGCAAAGGGCCCATGTACGTGCAGAACGTGGAGGCTCTCCAGAATTCAACCATGCACATGGCAGCAGGATGCAGCAAGCGTGGCGTTCACAACAGCCAAATCTCCATGACGTGCATAGCATGTATTCGCAAATTCGCATCCAGACTTATCCAGAACTGTGTGTGGAGTCAGCCCTGTAGAGTGCATGCAGGCATGCATGCATTCCAGCCGATAAAAGGCCCATATACCTGCAGAACGTGGAGGCTCTCCAGAATTCAACCATGTAGTCCAGCGGAGTCAAAAGCTTTCATGCACACACGGAACCATACCAGCAAAAGGTATATTGTATTCAAGACTTCAAGCATGCAGTCTTCAAGCATGCAGTCTGACTCTCCAGAAATGACACACGCAGTCCACTGGTGTCCAAATTCACCATGCAAGCTTGTGAATCATTCCTGCAAAGCAAGCAGGAAGTCCAACATGCAGTCCAACGGATGTCAGCTCCACCATGCGAGCACTTGCACCCAATTCCAGAACAATCTTCCAGGTCCAGTCCTGGCTACCTGCCCAACCCTCTCCATAACAGCGAGGTCTCATGTAATGCATGCAGGCAGATATACCGCAAATTCGCTGGAATGCCTTCCAACTTGCCAAAAGGAATAAGGGCTTGCACATAATTCATGGAAACTTTGTATCCCAGAGCTATGGTATTCAAACCACATGTAGTACATCTGAGGGGCTCAGCAACCTTCAGCTCCGAATCTGGTGATACATCGGCGTCGGTGCTAAAGAAGCATCCACATACAGATACCACGTGCGGGTACGAATGCGTGCATACGTGTCCAGAAGATCTGCATAAAATTCTGCTGGTGGCTTCCGCGCTGTCCTGAAGTGAAATTGCAGAATTTCATCACACCTCTGTGCCAATCGCCTCCAATCAGAGGCAACCAGGGGCAATCGGCCCAGGTGTTCCATCCCGGGAATATTCCGGATGTCATCCAGAAAGCCCAAAATGTTCTGGGCAAACAGTCTCGGGTTTGCAGAGTCCTCCATGGTCTCAATGAATTCCGGAATTCCGATCCCATCATCCATCCATGCAGGCAGGCGTCGGCTGAGGCCAAAGGTCATGGTGCAACGAGTGGAGGTGAAACAAAGGTTCAGTATGTCCGGGGTCGTGCTTCAGTAAAGGCTTTCAGACTAGGAAGAATAGCCCCCAAATAAAAGCAGGATAAGTAGGTAACAGGTAAAAGAGAACCCCAGCAGGCAGTCAGCAGCATCCATCATCAACTCGTCAGTGTTTTACACACAGCAACGATTTCCGGGGTTGGGATGGTTACTACGCCTCCTGACTGTCCGTGACCTCGATCACGTCGTGACAGTCCTTTCGAGAGGGCTGAAATGGGCTGAAGCTTGAGCCATAGGGTTCAACTGCTCAGAACCTTGGCATTCAGGCAAGCAAAGCTGCATCACTGCCGCCACATGCTTGTGCTTCAGGACTGCTTCAGGTGTCTGAGCAATTGGTGGATTTTAGAAGAAGCCAACCGTTGAGTTTCGGAATGACTGCAGGGATTTGCATCCTCAAGTGCAACTACAGAAACATGCGTCCTGAGGACGTAGCAGCCTTACACCAAGGAAGCCTAAGTCTACACCATCTGATCGCCCGGTTCTGGAATCTTCCGGCACAGGCCCGAACTCACAATCCCACGCCGGCTCCAAGCTTCCCCAAGCCCAGATGTCGGAGCTAGAAGGGAATCTTCAAGTCTAAGGCTCTTGCTGAACTGCCTAGCTTGTGTCTCTATTGGTCTATCGTAGCTGTTTTCACACTTTGCTAGTTCATATCCTGGGACTGCCTGCCCCTTTCTGCTCTGCACGAGTGTGCGACGGGCGAATGCATCCGGGCCACCGCGAGGAGGTTAGGCCTGGGCTGGAAGCCAACGCGCCAACCGGGGGTGGTCGCTGCGAAGTTCAGAGTTTGGGTTCAGGCCTTATACCAAATCATGGTGAGGATGTGGGCTCCTGCTTGCTCAACATGTCCAAATTAAAAAGAGTTGCTCATGCCTTCCTACATCGTCCCAAACGTGAACACCAGTCATCATCACCTTGTCACCGAGGGGCCAAGCTCGTCAAACACCCCCTTCAAACTTCCGTGACTGGCGCTGCCAATACCGCCTGTGGCCGCTTCCTGTCGTGACAAGTCTTCCAAGGGCCCCAGTAACTCTTCGCAGTGCCCGGTCAAAATCTGACGTTGGGTCTGATCTTATACTTCAGGTCGCGGAGCCTGAACACGTGTCAGTAAGGAGCCCCAAGCCAAAACCTGCATTGCAAAACAAGTGCGAATCTGAGGCACAATGCAATGGAGTCGGGCCCTTTGGCGCTTCTAGCTTTGGGCTGTCTCGTGACCAAATCCTTGCCACAACAATGGCTTGGATATAGCCTTTAGGGCCTATAGCCTAACCGCTAAAGCCTCCAATGGCGCAGCATGACGGAGTTCAAAACCACTACATCCTGTGAGCCCCGTTCACAATCCGAGAACAAACACCTCCGCTGGGTTGAGCCCCATAAGCCGATAACAGAGTTACAAGACAGAAGCATCCGAATCGCGCCTGGGACTGCGAGGGCGTAGTTCTCAAGCCAGGGTGTTTAGACGGACCGTGGTCGAGCGACTAAGCTTTACAGGCAACATTACAAACAACAGTTAAACTCGTCAATATGCCGGTAGTTGCCAATTGAGGATAAATCCGTTGTAAGCTGAGGATCTGGACAAACCCAAGTTTCCTGTCGTGCACTATCGACCTGGAAAGCACCATGGCACCATGCACACCTCGCTCAACAAAAGCACACCTATGCTCTGGTCAAGCCTAGCCAGCCATATAGAGCCGTTCACAAGGACTGACGCCGAAGCAAACGCAACTTGCGGCACCTCCGCCCCCGCAAATAACACGCTAAAGGCACCTCCACAGAGCTGAACGGCACCTTGGAAGGTCGGGGTCGGTCTCCCTCTCTCCCTTCCCTCTCCCTCCAAGGAGCTGTGCTTGGTCGCTGATGGGCTTCCGAAGCGGAGGAGCGGTATCTTGTTCTTTCTTGCCTAACCCTCAGCACCAGAAGCCCCGAAAGCTCTACACTCGCGACTCCAGACCTCACCAACTGCCGCTCGAGACTGTGAGCGCCGCCCACACCTTAAACCTTTCCATTGAGCCCCGAATCGAAATGGAAACCCCACGACCTCCTCTACTCCAACACTTGTCCAAGCCACGAGTGCATTGCTTGGCCCGGGTAGACCCAGGTTCGCCATCCCTGGAACTGTTGCATCGATACATCATGGGGCTGTAGCTTTAGGGTCCAGGGTGCGACTTCTAGACGATATCCAGTTATCCACAGTCTAAGGTTTCGTTTTCAGGGCCGAGGGTACATCTGTACAATCTATCTGACTCCCGGTAGCGCTGGTAGTGGCCTACGGATCCCGATGTTGCATTCTGACCTGCTTTTGATTCACGCTTTCGACACCTAGGCTGGGTCAATACGGGTAAGCAAAGCCACAGCTATCCCATTACTATCAGTACTCGGTACTGGACGTTGCGTTGCAGCTTGGGTCACGGTGTACCCCGCCGCACCAACCGACCCATGCGACTAGTCACTGACCACCACCGTTCTCGCTATGCATCGAGCTTCACATACATAGCTAGACCCGACAGCGTCCCTGTGGCTTACCCTCTGACATCCTCCCGCCTCTCTCGGCAGGCTGCTCGGGAAAATAACAGAGAAGAAGGCTACAGGCCTCCGGTAGGATGATAAATACTCGTCAGTGCATAGGCTGTGCAAGCTCACATTAACGGCTTCGGCTGTGTTGCTTTGATGCATGGCTACTGCTGTGCTTCGGTAAAATCTCAGGGCTGCATATGCTCCATGCGATGCTTATCAGGGTTCCTATGTCCTATGGCTCTGACAACTGATTCTCGGCTCCGGAACATGTGCTGCAGTGCTTTTCCTGCCACATCCCGGGCTCTCCTACAGCGTCCTACGGCTGGAAGCCAACGGCCGGCCCAGCGCCCATGGTCAAGCAGCATCCAAGCTCCACCGAACCGCAGGCACGCACCCCAAACTCCCCGAATGGAAACTCAAGCTTCGATTGCAAAATTTGCATCAGACCTCAAGCTTCAAAATCTCAACTCTCAGCCCCCAGGCCTCCTGGCGTTTTCTGGGGCATCCTACCGATAAGACTCCTTTTGCAATCATTGGGTCGGACAGCCAAATTCACGTCTTTTTTGAAATGGGTTTATGGCCGTGGCACGAAGAATGCTTCAACCCTCATCCGGCAGAAAGATCTACTTCTCTCACCTGTGGCGCCTCTACCACTCCCAACTAAACTGCATAGAAACAGCGAAGCCCAGCCTGAAGGGCTACACCGCTCCGAGCCCTAATCGAGCCCTAAATCCCGGTTCAGGTGGTTTGAGGTTTAATTAGCCCCAAACCCAATTTTCCGATACAGCATCAGTTCTGAGGCTCCCTGCCGCAGCCTCGGAAAGGAGCCGCTCCGGTGGAAACAGCCTGCCACACTTGCCAAAAGGGGCTAAAAGTCTCTCTACAGGGATTGAGATCCCATAAGCCGTTAGGCCATAAGTACTGCTTACAGACGTAGAGCTGAAGCCCGATCGACGCCCTCACATCCTGATGCAGCAGAAATCCGACTAGCTCTGCCACAGCAAAGACTGCTGCCAACATGTCAGAGCGCAGTTACCAGAAGAGGCAACTCTGACACTGATACGATTTCACTTGCAACCCCATTTTTGCTCGCGCATCCTTGGAACTGACCGGCTTCACGCGCTGGCCTGAATCAATTATTCATCGATTGCCGCCAGGCTGCTACTTCCCACAGGCCGGCTGTCCCAAATCGGAACAAGGAATATAATATCTATATGTATGTATGTATATATATATACACACACTGTAGTTAACCATTCGAGTACGGTTTTAGGATACATTTTTCTAGTACAACATGATGATATAATAAGGTGCCCCGAAACAATGGCATTCCTAATGATTCAGGGTTCTTCAACAAGCTTCTTTTCACGTGATAGCAGCACAAGCAGCCAGAAGAAGCATCGCGCGCAGGAGCAAGTAAGATGCAGTAGTAATTGGTTAGTTTAGTACGCCGGCATCAAGCACTGTCTACGCCTTCATGTGCATCCTGGCCCACACCGGCGACAAGCCACGAATGCTGCACACCCTGACTTACGAGCTGCTCATGTAATTGAACGGGAAATCCTCCAGAGCCCTAATACGAAGTCCCTCCATACAACCAAACTCCCGGAGAGGTGGCGAGCTTCTAAGAATTGGCCCTTTCAGAATCTGCTGATTGCCCTCCTTGTGGGCTAGTCTTGTAGCAATGGCAAGGGGCAAATGACACGGTTTTTAAGATGAGGGTGCAGAGGACTGCTTCGGCTAGCTGTATAAGGTCCTGAGAGCTTCGGCTTATGGACATATCGATGTAGCTGCACTAAACAGGGACCCTGGCATTGAAAACTACCTGAAGAGGGGGTGAGTCAGGGGGTAGCTTCATGGGAAGTACCAAGCCTGCGAAGATGCATCTGAGCCACTTGCAGACTGCTTTGACAAAAACCACCAAGCTCCATGGAAAGTGCTTTTCAATAGTTTTTTCGAGAGGAGTCTTGCATAGAGGCTCATCTGAATTAGGCGGATCTAGCTCCGGTGCACATGTTTCGCACCGCTCCGTCGCCGTCGCGCAAAGCCCCGACGGAAGTGAGCTCTAATTCCAACTAGAGCCTCCGAAACTTCCACGGCAAACAGCTAGGCTCCGGATCTTGAGCCGGAGGCCTCTGTCCCCGAGTAGAGTGGGTACTTGTCCGCATCATCGGGATGGTTGAGTCTCGGGCTCACGCAATGCTGGGTTTATTGAGATCCTAGTGGAACGACTTTTGCTGTCAGCAGTCTCCTTACGATTTCTAGATGTACTGTGATCAGTGATTCACAATCCCTTCTATCGCGTTCATACCGAGACACAGTGCACTTCCGTCCGCGGCCTCTGCTGCCGCCCATGCTGCTAGGAAATAAATTAGTGCCGACTTCGAAGGATCGTGTACATGGGATTTGGGTAGAAAGTGTTGGCAATTGCGAAGCCAGAAACCTGAAGAAAGGATCAAGAACGGGAATCACTGAGCCTAGCTAGGTCACACCGTGCTGTAAACTTCAGCTCCCCAAAATTAGCAGCCCAAGCCCTAGGTTTCTTCAATAAAGGCTCCAATAGACCGCCGCCCAAACTGTGTGAACGAGTCACACAGGGCCAAACCCTGCGTTGCAGCTCACTTCCTTGTGATACTCAGGAACACCCCGAGGCTCCCTAGAAGGAAGCCGCACCTGGGTTGCAGGCTTTACGGTTTGTGGCTTTGCCGACATGATGTCGTCGGCCTTCCTTCTGAAAGGCTTGAGGTTAACGGCTCAGAGGCTTAGAGTCTGGGCTGGGGGCAGGATCACGTTGACCTTGATCCGAAACTGACTTGTTCACATCACTGTGTTCGATTTTTATGATGCCCTCATTTAATCTGCGAGGTTTTTAGCCTATTTGCTGATCAGTCCCCAACGTAAGCTCAACCGTGGTCCATTTATAAAATACAGGCTACTCGTCTGTTTTTGACTCGTTCTTTGCTTTTCTTTGGAGGACAGCTCTATTCGTTGCCTTCCAGACTGGCCAGGGCACATCACCAGGACAACTTCCTGCACGGCACGCCCTGGGGCCTTGCCGCCGCGCTGTCGGCGAAGACCTCGAGACATCAATGCCGGGGCCACGAAGACCTCAGCCACGTCAATAAGAAGCAACTAACGCTGTCAACTGCAACGTTGGTTAGCGGTTGACTGCAATGCTATCAGACCCGCCGAGCTTCAGTTTAGTTGCATACTGGGTGGGAGGATTCAGCTATGCGGTCCGACATGAGTTAGGCATGCCACGTGAAGCGGAGGTATTCGAAGACATGTGCATGGCGCTTCAGGAATTTGCGCAGTATGTGACTTTAAACCAATTTTGCATGTGCCAAGTTCTTACAAGTGCAAATGGCGCCCAACCAACTAAACCCCGCGAGTTTTCGAATTGAGCAGCATTCAAACACCAACAAATCCTTACACCTGGCTTGGCGGCTTATTGACCATTCTCAGATCGCAAAGACTTCGCGAAGCAACAACAACGACCCTCAGGGAAAATCATGCATCTGCTTGCCTGCCGAGTCTACCGTCGTTTGAAACGACAAGCAGGAGGTCGACACTGAGAGCCACAAGCGACGACATTGTCGTCCGGATGTGCCGCGGGTATGATTGATGAGCACTTATAAAGTCGAACAAATTCGCGCTATAAAGCTTTACAAAGCTTCGAACAAGTCTTCACAAGTCCAAATCTCTGCCCGGTGGCAATGAAACTTCCCATAGTTGCACCGGTGACTGCTTGCACCTTCCCCAAATCCTCTGCAGGGCGAGGCTTACTTCAAGGTGGGCCAGGATATATGGAGCTTGGTTGTGATTTCCGGGCGGCAGCTTCGGGAAAGAAAACAACAACATCGTGGCAAGTGTGCACGAAAGAAGTCTGGAAGTGAGGACCCCGTGCAGATCAGGGTGTCTAAGACTCGGCAACCCGCCTGCAGCATAAACTCGCGTGGCTGATGCGGCGCAGCAACACGAAACACGGCATAAGGGATCACCGAACAAGCTGCGCCAAAACCGTCTGTTTGAGGCTTTAGTCGCTATCGCAAGCAAATTCGACATAGCCCTGCTCAATGACGTCGCCTTGTCCTGAAGGCCTGAGAAGTCGCGAAGATTTTCAGTCAAGCTATTGCCTGTTTCCCAGTGCTGGGTACTCTTGCACGCGATGTCTTTAGACATCAGGGATCACCTCTAAGGTTTGCATCTACACAGGAGGAGCCGGCCATGTTGTGATGTGGATGAGTTTTTTTGCCTGTGACCACAGCAAGAGCATGCGAAAGGTCCCCTACAGACCCGACAAACAGATCTACCTTGGGAAGCCCAGTGGCACTTCGCAAGCAGAGTTACGGGCCAACTGAGCAGCTTTCCTTAAATCTTACGCAGTTCTAAACACTGACATGACGGTGGCTCCGCGACTAGGACGCGACTCGCGGTGCGCTATGTGCATGGGGAAACCAGTTCTTGCATCAGCACACCAAGCATGCAGAACCGGCTCTGTGAGTTAATTTGGGCATCGATTGTCATCGAACAGGGATTCCAGCCTTGTAGGCTCAGTTTGCGGCATGTGGTGCATGATCATTGGTTAAACACGCTGTAGCGTACGAAAGGTGCAGGCAGTTCAAAGATTATGGCACAGGTCGGAAGAAAGTTGCGCTTTGAAATGGGTTATGAATCACGAGCCTCACGCTCACATCAACTCTCTCTCTCCCTCTCTCTCCCTCTCCCTCCCTCCCTCCCTCCCTCCCTCCCTCCCTCCCTCCCTCTCTCTCTCTCCCTCTCTCTCTCTCTCTCGCTCTCTCTCTCTCTCTCTCTCTCTCTCTCTCCTTCTCCCATTCTCTGTCTGTCCTTCTGTTTCAAATTTCGTCTTTACTGGGCAGTAGCAGTAGCAAGTTCTGAATACTACAGGCCTCGCCCTGGATCCTCCACCTGGAAGGTCTCAACATTATGTAGATCCCGTGGCTTGTTGTGCGGATGTTGAGCCTGTGCTTTGCTGTGGTACTGGCAGGGTGGAGTCACTAAAACACTAAGAAGAACAAGAACGAACCCAAGCAAGGCATGCTCAGTCATCGAAGCTTCGCACCTTAATCCACACACCGGAAACTTCACGTGGGACATCCAATCGGTTCGGTGTCAAGCCCAAGCCGCACCAAGCTAAGCCGATTCGGTTGCATTACATAAGGACTCAGCTAAGCATACAACAGAACGCACAACCAACCTTCAAAAGGCCTGTCAAAGAAATGCTACATGGACAGCTGAAAAAGCCTAAACCGGATCGTTGACAACCCTTTTCCATGCCAAGATCGTGGCGCTCCTATTGAGAGTCCCATCCCATAGATTGGTTCGGCTGCGTTGATGAGCACTGTGAGAGGAAGTGGTGTGTGGACGTGAACCCTGAATCTAGGGATGTGGACTGTCGCAGCCCGGATGCTCCTCCCCAGTCCAGATTTTGGCTTGTAGCCCAACAGGCTTCTAGAGTCTTGGGTACAAGGTGGCGTGCTTCAGCAGCTTAGCATCTTCTGCGGGCTTGAGCTTCTACGATCTGGCACCTCCTACTCAAGCATTTTGCGAGGTTTTCAGAAGGCAAGGAGGTGCTGCGATTTGTCTGTGACATGCGCAGCTTGTCGGGAAAGGTAGACATGAGGCTGCCCTACCACTAACGAAAACGACGCTTGCAACAGAGTGTGAATGCTGCTTTCTGCATTCAGCAGGATTTAGCAGTGGAAACAAAGGATGTAAACCAACACTGACTCTCTCCCCACATGTAGTTCCTCAGAGAATTAGTTTTGTAGGCCATGGGCCAGTATCCCACCCCCCCCGGAAGACTCACTAAAACTCAAGCATGCAGAGCCCTTGTTTGCAGCATGCCTTCAATACCAAGGCGAGTCCAGTGGTAACCTCAGATGCAGGTTTGGATGCATGTGTGATGTGCGCAGCAGCCGTATTCTTATCGTCCTGACTACACGCACCTCTGATTAATCCTCAGCCAGCTTTAGCCATGTGGGTGCTTCATAGGGGTGTGCTGTCGAGATGCAATGGCAAGCGGGCAAGAATCAACATGGGCTCATGGGTTCAAAGTGCAAGAGCATCTCAGATTTCAGGATCAGCCAGACTTGGCTGGCATCATATATTGAATTAGTTCGGAAGCTTTCTTTACTTGCACCGGTTGGCGTGGGAGAGGGAGCGAACACATATCCATTCAACGGTTCAATTCTTCGATCATCCATAGCCATACTCGTAACACTCACAGATAACATGATTTCACAGCGGGACTTCGATGCATTGAGAAGAACTGGAGCACAGGCTTGAACTGCCTTCGGGAAGAGACGCATGCCAAAGAATCACGCATGCACCATTCCCTGCCACTCCAGCACATACGTACATTCAAGCCAGCACCGCAAACCGATTCTAGTCTCGTCAAAGTCTATCAGAAAGCAAGCCCAGACAGACAAGACATCATGATGCCGAAGGGGCAGTCAGCAGGGCCACGGTCAGCCAGCGCACCGCCGGCTTGTCCATTGAGAAGCCTTTTTTCTTGGCCATGGCCACGACCTGAAACACAGAAACTGTTTTGTGGGCTGAAGGTTGAGGGTCGCAGTTTTGGCTTTAAGATGGCTTTAAGCTCCTACCGCCTGTATCTTCACCGAGGCCCAAAATGCTGCAACCACTCCCGCCATGAGTGGAAGCGGGTGGACCCGAATGCCCGAAAGTCCAGTGGGTTCGTTGCTAGCTGGGGTTGCACTTAGCTGCCTATTGTAGGAACCTTCTACAAGGACCCCCCTCCAAACAGACTCTGATTCAGAACACTGTGCTACACAACCCAACCAATAGCTGATCCTACGAAACGAAGCCTGGCCTCCGATTTCAGCAGCATGAAGTTGAGAGGAAATCCTGGGATCCCAAGTTCAGGGCTCTGAAGCACGAGAGATTTCCAGACTGAAAGCAGTCGTGGGGTTGTTCTGTTCTTTCGAACTTGAAAGCCTCAGTCTTGAGACAGGCACTGATGTTATTGATGCTCTGTCGCGATTCGCCATTGTTGACCTGTGATTTAGAGGGCCCCCTGCTTGGGGATAGCAAATAGAGTTTGCCAACAGAAGCTGGCAGTTTGATAGCAAGGCTGTCAAGCATTAGGAAAGGCTGGCATGCCCTAGTAGAGCTTAGCACGCCTTGGTAGTTTGGTCTGTTCGTGAGGATTGCGCTAGTGAGCGTTAGTAGGGACTAGTGAGCGCTAGTGATTGCTGGTGAGGCCAGGTCAGTTTATGGCGGGTTGAACGTACTTCAAAGGTTGGCTCCAAACCAAGAGTCCTCAAGAACCCTTACTAGCAGGCTCCGTTTGCCATCCCCCACCCCCAAATCGTAATTCAATTATTGTCTTTAGCAGCGCCAACCAGAACCCTAAACTGGACAGGATTCACGACAGCCATACATGACCAGTTCGTGCCAGACAGTGCAAACCGCTTCTTTTTCGATGTGGTTGCATCTCTAGCAGAGGCGTATGAACGCATACATGGGTTCGTGTTGTAGAGTGCAGTGGCCACAGGCTGGCCGGCACCATCCCGACACCGCCTGCGACAATCCTTCGTTTCAAGCCTTCCCAAGCCCAAACCACAGCCTGGGTGCCGCAACCTAAACACAGCCGGTTCGGTAAGTTGGGAAGCCCAGAAAACAGAGTTCGGACGCTGGCCTCTAGAACTTCGCCGGGGAGCCACAGAGAATGCTGATCATTACCCCCATCTTTCCAAGCGAAGCTGCCTTCGATCAGAAGGGTTGGGGAGCATACAGAATGTTGATATCAGCCTATGAGTTCAGACTCGGGGAAGGTTCAAATCCGTCTTTCGGTTTGAAATATGGAACTTGCAAAACTGGAGAGCCTGAGAATTCCGATAAGACAAGAGTTTGCAAGTGTGGCCAGGACCCCACATAAGCCTCCTAAGCACCGGCACAACTTCTCTTTAAGCAAGCTCACAAGCACTATCTACAACCTATGCCGGCGACGAGCACGACAGCAAATTCCCCTGATGGAGATTCGGCAACGGAGGCTCGAATCTAGGGCCTGAGCTTAGGCCTGTAGGATCGTGGCCTAGAAAGTGAGAAAGCCTTCAATCTCAAGACCAGGACCTAATTAATCAACCCGTAGACAGGTTGTGCATCTCGGCCAGGCTCCCAAAACACGTAAACCCTGCCCAGGCACAAGGTCGCGGGTGGCGTAGTTCGCCAAAAGCAGACCTTGGGTGTTCGCGCCGAAGGTGAAGAAGCCGGCGGCCATCAAAGACTCGGTGCGGGCACTGTGCAGGAACTATACATGCTTCTTTTATAATTACTGGATTGGTCATGCTATGTTTTCTGGCTCCTACGGCTCTTGGGAACTCTGCAGTCGAAGGGTGCGTTGTTCGGGCCGGGCCTCCGATGAGGCAAAGACTCGCGGTTTTGCACACCTGTAGCCACATCCACCCTGCTAGGGTTGCATCGGACGCAATGATCTTTTCCGAAACAAGGCAGTTTTTGTAGGTGACTGATGCCTGAACTGTACTTCTACCCGAGTCACGAATTCACGAACATCCTGACCCCAAGAATACCACAGAAATCCAATTAGCTGAGAGACGGTGCAAACGCCGCCAGTGATGATAAAGGCGAGAGTAACGGCCTGAAGACGTGACAGTCTTGATGGTCTCGTGAGGACACCAAGAGCCCCATGAACTTTGACAAGGATTTCTTGCGACACGAGCCACTTTCACCACAAAATGATGTCCAAACAATGCGAATGTTGAAACCGTGCACAAGTGTGGCTCTAAATTGCAGCAACAGTTGAGTCACATAATTACCATCGCTGTGGTTGGTTACCCAAGGGGGCGAGAGTTGCCGAAGACCGTTTACATGAATTCGACACTTCGGATGTCACAAGCCTTCGACCAGTTGAGTCGAAGTACCAGTGTACAGCAATTTGCGGTTCCGGTGGCGGTGTGCAGCCCGTGGAATATTTTCTGCAGGACTTGAATAGGATTTCCAAATAACGTCCTGCAGAGCTGCCATCAGGATTCCCAGGAGTGACCATTCTGTCCGGGTTGCAAGCGCATAGCGCCGAAGGTTGCTTTTCTTGGAGCTGCCGCTCTGGACCAGCTCCTGGAGACGGGAGGGTATAATCAAGGCAAATGTCCAGTCCGATGGTCTGAAAACTGGACAGCAGGGCCTAGCCCAGATGCCTCACATTTCGACTTCAGTTTGATACGCAGAACCAGGACCTACGAGCTCGTCGGAGAGGTCTCTTGGCTTTTTGAGCCTAGGGCCTAGGGGCTACCCTTAATCCGAAACTCACATCATCTGCCGTCAGAAGCCTGAAACCGGCCTTCAAGCAAAGCCAAGGCAGTCCTGGTATGTTGCCGGTGCCATCCCGTGGTTCATGTACGCCTCACATCACGGAGCCCATCGTGTTCGATAAAGTAAAGGCAACAGTCATGTACCGAGGATAACGGCAGCAGGCATCACGACAACCTACATCAGGTGCCGTTTTTAAGGTTTTGGCGCTCAATCTCGGACTCGGACATAGGTTCAAGATGCTGCATGCTCTGTGTCACCCGTCACATCGAATACAGATGGATCAAACCGGCAATGAACCCCCGCCATACTTCCCCTTTTGCACCAGCAGCTTGGTGACGGTTGTAAACGGAAGAAGACCGCGTTCTCCTTCCTACCGCTGCGCAAGTCAACCCTCGAAATGCAAAACCGACAAGTTCTCGTGCGGCTAAGTTCCCTAAGCCTCAACCGCAAAACCAAGAAAAGGAGCACCAAGCTTGCAGGCGCGCTCCCCTCCACCCGTCATCGATTTGAGCGAGTCGCTGTACTGATGTTCGATAAGAAGACCAGGACTCGAGGGTTCACGGCATCCGATAGATGGCCTCAGTCGCGAGCCGGTCTTGAAGCTATGCCAGGGCCTCCGGGCGCGGAAGGAAGACTTGTCATTGTGGCACCAATTATGTTATCAGCGAGGGTCTGTGATTGGTCGGAATTGCCTGACGTAGGGGTAGTCCAATTACATTAATTACCTTCTAATTAAGTCAAACGAAGTATAAGTAGCAGGCAATATCTTGGGTCGCTAAACTTGGTGTTGTCGGAACATCTTTGGCCAGTTCAGAAGCGCTCTATGCGTCTAATCAAACCCTAAACCACGAAAGACGCAGCACCCCAACACCAGGATTTGTAGCTGCTGCTGGCCCAGATGCTTGCGCTGATCAGGGCCATCGGCGCAAAAGGTGCAGCACGGAAGAATTTACCTCCCCTGAGGTAGCTGCCATCCTCGGGTGGGGGGAGGGCACGACACCGGAATTCGTGGGCTCTGGCAGTTCGGGCTCAAAACCTGGGGCTTGTGCTGGTCGGCTGCATAGAAAATTTGCAGGGTCGTCCGTTTCTGCTGAGGTTCACGTTTTCCCCCGACTCAGAAGTATCTGAAGGGAGGGTAGGAAGAACAGCTCACATCCTCAGATCCACTTTCCCCAGTCAATCGAGCCTGGGCTAGTTCACCTCCACGGACAATCACGGCCGCCAGCTGTTCCCATCGTATTAAAAAGTCTCGATTTGCTACGACCATCCTGTACTAGGTTCTTGTGATTGGCACTGCTGCTGTAAACCCCAGTGTCGAATTGGTGTAGTATCCCACATCCCCAACACCGGCATATACTACGTCTGGAAGCCTGGCAACTATCTGGCCAATGCTGCAACCATGCCACCAGCGCACGCAGCGCACAGAATGCCGACAAGTAGACGCCTCGTTCGGCTCGCTAGGCCCAAGCTCTGGCGCTGTGGCCACGAACTACCGACATGAAGACAGCACAGAAGGTTGGAAGGTCTCTTGACTGCCGGGCTAAGAACCAGTGTAAAGAACCAGAGTCCAGATGGAACCGAAGACTGGGGTCAGCCAGTGGAGGGAGAGCCTGCCTGGAGTAAGCCACAGCCTGCCAGGATATGTCCTGATGAAAGCCTTGAGGTCCTGCACCGTAAAGCCCCGCAAGTAAATATGGACCCTGAACAAGGCAGCTCCGTTGAAGTCAGCTGAGGACCCAGCAAGCAGCAAGACCCAGCATTGAAGTGAAGGCCAAGCTCCTTCGATTAAGCTAACTTTTGGCACTCACACTCGGACAAAGCCAGGCAACGCATTACGGTTGAGCCGCTGTGGGGTTCGAGGCATCCTGACGGACGGTTACCGTGCCTCGCCTTCGAACTTCGGTCTTGGGGCGTTAGTTAACTATTGACATCAGATGCTGCAGCTCCGTCCACACGCTGCAAGCCGTGTAAGCACTGCTAGCCCTTTGCGTGGCCTCTCAGTTGGCTCCAGGCTTCGAAACTCATGATCGAGAGTTTAGGGGGCGAGTAGTGACAACTTCGTCTTGGGCTGAAGGCCTGCGTACAGCAGAATGCTAAAACGCGAGGCACGTCCGACACGACCAGGGAACCAAAGGTTGCATACCAAAGGTCGAGAAGTCTTCTGCCAGGCACATTGGGAGCAGAACGCACACGGTGAGGCTGATCCTGAGATTCTCATCGTGCTCTTAAGCAAGATGAGGTCACTGCAAAGACTGCATGTCAGAAACTTCGCAATAAGGATCTGTTCGTGGGCCCTCCAGCCGAAAGTCGGAAGCTCGAATCAAGCAGCGTCACTTGCTGGCTTGCACCCTCGACTCCTAACCAACCCTCAGGCTAAATGCCTCTTTTGTTCGGCAAGCAGCAGAACGGGAGCTCGGCTGCAGTACAGCTTCAAGGCTCCTCGAGCCCAGAGGTCTCTCTGAAGTTCTGTCTGCGAGGTAACGGGGGGTGTCCAGGCTGTACCGAGTTGCTGAATTTTGGCGCATTGTGGTGGTTCGCATTGGGTGGGTACATCTGTGCAAGCGGGTACAAGTGAACATGCATGTGGTCGCACGCTATATAACCTACGGACAAACATGCGCACATCCGACAACACGAATTGCAAGAACAAGCTCTTACATAAGAAGATGCAAGCTCAAGGCTTTGGGCTTCCGGCTTCATGGGCGTCTGAAGGATAGCAGAATGCAGTGGCCTAGCGAAGGGACGGCAGTCAGGAAGGACTGAACAAACTGAGTCAGGAGGTCGCCAAGGATCATGGCCTCGATGCAATGCCGGGCCATGGTTGAATTTAAGCGGTGCGGGGTGTCAAAGGGTTTGAAGGATCCCCACTCCCTGCTGTCTTTGCTGTGAAGGTGTTGCTTGCAAAACCGTTGGCCATGACGACCCGATTTGTCGATAAACGGTGCTCCTTCAATGGCTCGGACACTGGATGCTCGGATGCAGCAAGCATGCAAGCGCTGCCAGAACAAGTCCGCCCTTTGAGCCCGCATCTACATCCCTGGCTCGACCTTGAAACTAAGAATTCGGAGAAATCATCCCGAGGGATCGTCCTTGTAAGTCTCAAACACAGGGGCCCCAACAACAGAATACAGTAGGGCTTTAAGGAATATGGGCCCAAACCCGAGACCACCCAAGGCCACAAGGTTTCGCAGGCTGAGGCATCAGCGTAAACCGTGCAACTGATGCCGGAAAGAGTGCCTTGGGTATACGTAGCAGGTGCTCGGCTTAGCTTAGATGCTCAGGCCGCTTAGGGGGTTGGAGTGGGGTTTGGTAGCACATTCGTACCTTGCCGTCCTGGTCTTATGCGTCTTACTCCGTTGCTGCGTGCGTAGGTGGTTGTGCTTCAAGCTGCACCGTAAAGTCCAAGCCCGCTCAAGACTGGGACCACGACTCCTCAACACTACCCGGGCGAACACAGCTTCAGGTTTGCAGAGCAAGCTAAATCGATAAGCGGATGTTGACAAAGCTCCACAAAGCTCTGCTTTTGGGTGTGGCAGCGACTGGATCTATCTGCATGGGCTGCAGCCCGGCATGCTTGTCCCTCTCCTGTAATCTGCACCGATAAATTCGGTGCGCGGGTGTAAGCAGCTGAAACCGTCCCGGGTACCTAGACTAAGACCGGCACTCCTAGTCGGCACTCCTATCTTCCTAATCCTATTGACTCGACACCCAAAGCCCTACTCTCACAGCCAGAAGGCCCACCGCCAGCCGTGGGAGGAAGGCCCACTTGCCGAAACCTTGCGCTGGACAGGCTAACTAACTAGCAAGTAACTATTCAGGTATTAAGTAACCCAGTAACCGTTTATTCGCTCCGGAAGCTGATCACACAATGAACATAGTAACCTCTATAGTCAACCTGGCAGGAACTTCTGAACAAAAAGTTTCAAGCTACAGCCACAGGGCTTGTCTTCCAGGCAGCACCGAGGTCGTCTGCCCCTGTATCCTGGCAAAGATGGTTCAGGAAGTTAAGGTCTAGGGTAAGAACCATCTGAACCTTGTCTAAGCCTTGAACCTTCGCGCGCTTGTTCTACTGTTTACGGTGGTTGTTTTTACTGAGGGCTTGACTGTGTGGGACGGTTTTCGTAATGAATTTTCAGTGAGAACTCCAAGATACGCAGACAGCTTTTTTGGTACTGTACTGGCCTTGGGACCTGTTTGCTTTGCTTGGGGTATGGGGCGAGGGCCTTGGGACCTGTCTCTCTCTCTCTCTCTCTCTTTCTGCTTTCGTGGGCCCTCTGCCCTTCGCTCCGTTCCCAACTGGAGCACCGGCGCAGAAAACACGTTCAAACGAAGCATTTGGGAAGCTCGAAAACTACCAGGAGGGGCAAGCGGCAGGTGTTCAATGCTTGCCAACCTTTGCCAAGCTATGTGTATGTTCTTCGTCTGCACGCAAATGATGGGTTCAAAGGCCTTGGCCCTATTTCGGGCTCTCTTCTGACACAAGCGAACGTAAGGGAAGAGTGGGCACTGCGTCATGTCTTCGGGTATACGCAAGCAAAAGATGCAGAGAATGAAACTATCCCAGCCGATTAGAGCTGACAACGTCCGGGTGCACTCGGACCATGTTAAAAAAACCAGCGGGACAGCAGTGAGAGTAGGCATCTATCTATTCAGCCCAGAAGCTGCGCTGACTTCTGCCACCATCTGGAAAGTATAAGCAGACAGCCTTGGCAAGTCCGTCCGCCCAGGTGCTTCCGAAGCTTCTGGATCAGAACTAGAGACGGTATCGGTGTTCACTCTCAGACTCTGAGTCTTCAAGACCCAGGCTCAGGTTCGCTGTCCAGCTCCGGCTCTTAAACCTAGCCGTTGAACAACTGACATGCCAAGCCGCAAGCAAGCGTAAGGTTCTGGGAAGTTGGTTCAGGTTTGACGTGCACTGCGCCTTGTGAGTGCTTGGTTGACTTGGGTTCGGGATGGCTTGTCCTGATGTGCTCGGTGCTTTGCGGCATTTTGGAAGATTCTTGGTTGCTGAGTTCATAAGCTCTTCAGGTCTAACGTGGGTAATACTGACCCCAACAGTGTAAAGTGTATCCACACAGCTACCAAGGATTAGGATCAAGGCGTGACACGCCCTGCGAAGTCCCTGGCAAACTTTGCGTGCGAGAGCGTGTGTTTCGAGTCCAAAACAACCCCGGTGCCAGGCGTAGGCCCAGGCCGGCAGCCAAACCCCCTAACCAGCCACTTCCAGGCATCATATAGTTATTAGGAAATTAGGGGCGGAGTGAATGACTGGAACAGGATTTCGGGGTAGAGCATATCTAAAGAAACACTACATGTTGAAGTTTCTGAGGCCTTGCCGCTGGAAGAGCATCAAGGAGAAACCGGACAAAAGACAAAAGCATTGAAGAATCACCGACCCAAGCTTCAGACCATCCGTCGTTGTATGTTCCGTTTACTAAGCAGTTGAGTTCGGGGACGTTGAGGGGCTTAGTAATGAATCCAAGTTAGTTACAACCCAAGGTATACATAGCAAGGAAGTTGCTTTCCTAGCTATACCATCGAAACAAGAGTGGGAATCCTTGGTGCCCCGCACTGTCATGCCCAGGATGATAGCAGTGGCCACCAGCAGCCCTTGGGAGGTGTTCGTGAAGGCCGCGACACCCGCTGAAAGGGAAAGAGCCTTGGAATTAGCTGAGGCGTAGGACCAGGATTGGGGTTGAAGGCTTCGGGTCGTGCACTGCCTGGTAGCTCGGCAGCGTCTGGAAAAGTCACAACCACTACATTTGTTAGGAAGTCTTCTGTCTCGACCAATAGAGGGGTACACAAAGTGTACACTAGTGACATGGGCTTCAGATTGGGGCAGACAGGGCTAGCGTCCGTAAACGATTATTACCGTCCAATGGCTCAATATGACCTACAGAAACTTTACTTAAGACTCTAAGGCCCGCATAGGCCACTTGCTAATGGGATTTTGTAAGGAGGGCTTCGGGTTGTGAGGTTTTGGAGTTGGTTGATTTCGGCTTCTAGGACTTCCCTTGAAGCCTCATGAGTGGGACAAGCTAGGCAAGTACCATCCGCAAACCGAAATCATCAATGTAATATCAATGCTAGGCTAGACCACTGTAACTGAAAACGAGCGACCAAGCCCAACTGCAGCTCTCTTGAGATCGTCCTCCTCTTCCTCATCGGCATCGTCGGCATCATCGTAATCATGTTCATGATCATGCCCACCACCATCACCACCATCACCATGCTGCACGCTGACTGAACCGGTTCCTTGCGAGGTCTATTTTAGATATGCCTGGATCCTGGACCCATGGCCGAAAAACCAGCAAAATCCTGAACAACCTCCCCAATCCTCAGCCTGAACCCTAGGCTTGATATCAGCAGCCAAAGAGCTCCGCTGCCCAACATGCTCTTAGCAAGACTCACCTGACGTCACTGGTCAGTCCAGGATGGCTTCAGGTTCCAACCAGGGGATTCGGACGCCTAAGCTCCGCAGAACCTGCAAACACCGCATGCTGAGCTGGGCTGGGCTTTTCAACATCAGGGCTTCGGGTGTCGCTTTCTGAATTTCTGGGTTCCTGAATGAATTCTGCAGCCCCAAGATTGCATGAAACGGCTATATGCATGTTCGGACAAGTCTGCACACATCGCTGACGTGGCGGAAAGCTTGGTGACCTTCTGCCTCCGGGACCCAGAAGAGCATGGCTACCTGACTGCTTCTTTAGTTGGATCTACAGCCGGAACCCCAGCTTTGAAACACCCACAACTGACACGCTACCTTCTAAGACGCTGAATTCTGCAACTCTCGACTCCGAACACAAAAAACCTTTCAAGCCACCCCCTCCTTTGCAGGTGTTCTCCGGGAAGGGTATACGTTTGAACTCAGGGCTATCAGGCCGTGCCGCATAGGCATCCCATCCAAAACACCCCAGCCCCAGCGCCTGATATGGGAGTGCAGCCGAGCATCGGCAGTGCTGAGCACAGTCGCTTTGGAAGAGGACTCTTCGACCACTTCGGCCTCTCAAGAAAGTCGGGAGCTGATGAGCTGGCTAGAAATAACAGGCATAGGGACGCCAGAACATACCGAAAGCCAGATTCTGATCATCAAGACACCTGTCTTAATTCCTAAAGCCCAGAAGCAACCAACCCCTGCAGCCCTGAAAGGTGTGACCTTTGGAGCGCCAAGCAGTTCTTAGAAGCTGCTGCCCTGAGTGAGGCACTGATGCTTCCTAGATCAAAATCCCGGACAATTTGACAAGTAGACTTCAGGCCTATAAGTCCATGCTAAGCCCGAAACTCAACCCAAACCCATGCATGGCATGCATGGATTAAGGGCGGCTTGTTTCCAGGTGGAAGTGCAACTAGGTTTTTGCCTTGGTTTGAACTTTGGGCTCAGGATAAGCCTCAGCATACCATGTTCCCAAGATGCTTAACAGGGAGTTCATAGCAAAAACACGTCCTCTAAGCAATGTGTAAGATCGGTCACTACCCGCTGACTCCAAGTATGTTTCAGCCTGCAAATTATTGGCAGCACTAGCAGTGCAGTTGTATTCAAGCTTTACTTTGCTGCAAGTCGTAGGAAACATTGTCGGGGTGACCTCGGCTAGGTGCTTACATCTTCCTAATAGGGTATTCGGAGGCGGCTAGCCCGCAAATTTTCGCTAGGACAACTATACAAAAGGCACCACCCTTTGTACTTCCTGCGAGCTTGCATTGCCAGAAAGCGCCTCTTCGACACTGTTCTGGAGGGCTGTCCGCGCCTGGATCAAAGTGGCCACGCTAGACGGACTTGACACACTTGCCGCCTTACGAGGCTGCCTCGGGGCTGTGGCAACTGCACCGGGAACCCTGCATGAGCTTCATTGATAGTACCCGGGGCTTTCGAACAATCAAAATCCTGCAACCAACAGATCTCGAAACCTTGTCGGCTGCCGGTGGCTGGCGACCCACCTGCGGCTTTGGGCTCAAGGCTTCCCCGCTTCAAGTAGGCAGGACCGTAAGCGTAAGATGCTGAGTGATTCTGGTAGCCAAGCTGCACAGCTGCGGAGGTGGGAACATCAGTCTAGCGCAGCCATGGAGCTTCTTGACGGCTCAAGGCGACCGCAAATTTGCCCGACCGTTGTGCTGGTGTGCCGTTGCGCACATCACCGCAGCGGTCGCTGGCACTCTTTCTCATAGGCTGCCCGGCGTCGCATGCGGGCTGCAAGCACGGCCTGTCGCCTTCTGCTGTTTGCATTAAAGTGGAACTTGTGCCTCCTGGGCTGCTGATGTCACATTGCCTAAACTTTCTCTAGATCACACCAAGACGTAGGCCCGGAAAGCCCCGAGCAACTAGCCTTGGGGCCTAAATAACTGGCAGTTTTTTCGGGACACATAAAGACTCTAAGGCGCTCAAGGCGCCTGCGCCCGACCGAAGCCCGGAAGGGGCGTCTGCCGGAGCGGGATGCAGAAAGTTGCGGCGCCGGAGGCCTAGGACTGACAACATCAGCAGCTGCCAGTACTTGCATTAGTACTAACACTCAAGAGCACTTAGTTGCCAGAATGCCAGACATAGCAATCAGCAGTAGTGCTTCCACCAATACAGATCGTCGTGTAGTGGTAGTAGTCGTCGTGCTCCGGGTTGCAGTCGTCGTATTGGTAGTGGTGGTGGAGATAGTAGTAGTAGAAGAAGTAGTAGTAGTAGAAGTAGTAGCAGTGGTAGCGACGACGACGACGACAACGAGTACGACTACCACTACGACTACGACAACGATGACGACAACAACAACAACCACAACAGCAACAACTGCTGCTGCTGCTGCTACTACTACTACTACTACTACTACTACTACTACTACTACTACTACTACTACTACTACTACTACTACTACTACTAGCCCCCCCCCCTCCCAACTACACTTGTTCCATCCGGGCTGGGCAACCGCAGCTGCTAGGCGCCTTAACTGCGATAGTTGCAGAAGATGCAAGGGCTCAGGCTCCTTATCTGTGACAGCTGCAGAAGTTGCAGAGGCTCAGTTTCCTTAACTGTCACAGCCGGTGAAGTTGCAGGGGCTCAGGCCCCAAAACTGCGACAGCAGCTGGAGTTGCAAGCTCGACGGGGAAGAAACTGATAAACCCCGGGTGGTCGGATAGTACGAAAATGCTGTAAATACCGTGCAAAACCCAGGTGCTGCCAAGAAGGGTTTAACATTTCTAAAACCTGAAGCGCAACATCTTCTAAACATCAAAAACAAAGATGCCAGCTGTACGTGGGAGGGGCTCGCCAACACCCCTACCGCCCAACCTCTGCGTAGGAGGGTCTGTTTTTGAAGTGGTGTGTGTGGTGTGTGCGCGCTTGAGTGTGGAAATATTGCTCAGGGTGTCCGCAAAACAGTGTCGTGATCATCCCCGAAGAAGCTTTCCCCCACCCAATTTCGAGTTTGTTTGCAAACAGTTCCAAACAGCAAAGTTTAATACGCATAGTCGAGAAGTAAGGGCTCAGAATATGTAACAAAGTCTGACATCACGAAAGTACCGTAAATACCGAGTTAAACGGCTCTTGTGGTGATACTGCTGGGTGTGTTCGCGTAACACTGTCGTCATCATCATCCCCCCCCCCACCCCCCACGCACCCCAGAAGCAAGTCCAAAATCAAGAGCCCGAGTTTGCAAACTCGACAAGTCGATTTTTAGGCCTCTTAGGATGATCGCACATGACGAAAGTGCCGTAAATACCGAGTAAAATGGATGTTGTCTTAACATAGAGCTATAGTACTACTACTACTACTACTACTACTACTACTACTACTACTACTACTACTACTACTACTACTACTACTACTACTACTACTACTACTACTACTACTACTACTACTACTACTACTACTACTACTACTACTACTACTACTACTACTACTACTACTACTACTACTACTAAGGCTACTAGTACTACTCCTGGTGCGACTAGTACTACTCACTGCATTTGCAGCGGCAGGGGTTGTACGGTGAAAGTTGTTTTCCGGCTGAGTAAATGGTCTTCGGGCTGTTGGCAATCGTTTGAGATGAAGTAGGAACACTACAGTTCTTCTTGCAAGAAATTCAATCACGTCACCTGGTCTCACTCAAACTCCCGACCCAAAACCAGATATGCAGTCATGCAATCATCCCAGGAGAGTCTGTTTTGCTACTGTCTCTGTCTTCGGACTCATGCGTCCCTATTGTATACTTGCACCTGCAGGTGTCACGCAGTATGTATGCCACAATCAGATAAACAAATAGATAAAGGAGAGACAGATAAATGGATAGCTGTCTGTGTGTACATATGCCGTTTAAGCTCAGATCCCTGGGAATGAAAGCAGTAAGATCTACCTGCAGGGGTTGTCGACGAGGCCCGCACCACACAAAGGCACAGTGCTGCCGCGGCGATGCGGCAGGTCCCCCATCGTGCCAGTCGAGCCCGCGGCATGTTTCCTAAATCGCCACTTGTGATGGATCTCCTGGACATTCAAACTTAAAAGAATCCACTATAGACCCTGACTAGCCGTCATGTCTGCAAAACAACGGCCATTTGCCTGACTGCGTTGTGCTATGAGTCTGAGCTTTGTCTCTTGCGATGAGCTGCCTTCTTGTCACCCCAAAGATTCGCCAGCGACACAAACAAACTTCCACATCGTTTGCCACAATGCTCCTTGTGATGAGTATTCTTCGAGCCTGGCCTGCGAGTAGGGCGGCTGACTGCGTCTACCCTGAGCCTTGATGGCCTTGAGGAGGCTCGCAGAATCCGGCTTTACGATTGTTTGCCCTTTGGCCATGAGCCTGGCATCCTGCAAGTTGCCACACCGGTTCCCGCTGACGAAGAGCGGTGTATTCAGCCTTGAATTGGGCGAGGCTGAGGTTTTTATGGGGATCTCTTTCATTTAGTCTCATGCTAGGCTAGCCAGAAGTTGCGAGATACTCTAAGCAGCGGATTTTAGGGCTACTTGCAACTTGAAGGGGATTTGCAGATCGCAGGCAAGCTGGCCACTGAGGATGCAGGGTTCAAGGTGGCACATGCATCATGAATAAGCACGATGCTCCACGGTGCACCCCAGGCACCCTAAACCCTCAAAACATTTCAAAGCCCTCATAAGCCATAACAAGCGCCCTAAGTTCGAACCATGCCCAAGGAGCCCCTGTCGATCAAGCCCATGAGAGCCGCTCTGGCCACTGAAGTATCGACCTCCGCTCTTAGGATTCTCAGTCTTGGGATTTTGGGCTCAGGGTTACCCAGTTTCGTCGAAAGATTCGAAAGTGCCCAAGACGTTCCAAACAGGAGCATGCGAGCCTGACGCTTCAGTTTAGGGAACATGTGGCAGACATCACAAGACGAGGATGCTGCTGATGATGATGAAAGTCCCTTTGGCCACGATGCACAACATCTTCCCTTTGTCAGCTGGCCAGAGTCACCGGGGCAGCAATCGAGTGATGCGACAATTGCGGATCCTGGAAGCCTACCCGAGCTCGCACCTGGGAATGAGGTTGCTGGAGTAAGCGCCACGCGGACACCGAGAAACAGCAATGCCGTCCTGAGCCGAGCACGAAACAAAGGCATCGCGGCTCTGCCGGCATCTGTGTCAAGCCGACATGTCTCCTCCCCAAAGATAAGACAAGCTCAATACTGCGAAGATAGAAAGAAGCTTCTGTCACACTCGCGGCTGTGAGAGCTCTGCAACAGCATGAATGTCACTCGGCCGGTCGCCTTCACACCGCAGTCAGAAACTTCCAGAACTTCGCCTGTCCTTTAACTCAGAGCCCGGCGTTCCAGTGCCAATGGTTCGGCCAGTCCTGACATTTCACGAAAAAGTCAGAAGACGAGGTGCACAAACGCATGTGCCTACATACATGTGCATGTATCAATACTGTATAATCACATATGCACAAACTGACAGTAGAAGAACATGCATGAACTTGAGCATGCATATCTGTATACAGGTACTTTTGAAATATACACGTATGCATACAAACAAGCATACTGGCGTACACGCATGCCTACTTCTTCTATCTAGACAAGGTTAGTTATATATATATATATATGCGATAATTCGACTGCATAAAAGTATGTTTTAGCGCATGGCAATACACTACATTATGCTTGATTCGATTCTCTAGTATGTTATGCCATGTTACACCACACAGCCTTTCGAGTTATGTCTTGTTATGTGTTGTTGTTTCATTATATGGTTTTCGATTATATCCTGATAACTTATTCTATGCCATGGCTGTTCGTTCTTGTTGTTTCAAACTTGTGTTGCGTTATGTGATTTTTTAGTCTGTCATGGTTTAACTATATGGCGTAGGCCGTGTTCTAACATGTTCTATCGCGGTCTGTCTACTCTGCTCTTTCTGTTGTATTATATTTTTTTGTCAAGTAACATAAGCGTTAAATAGTATGAACGTAAGAGTGCTCTATAAACTCCTGGCATGATATAAGCGAAGTAGCTTTTAGATATATACCTGCATTCTTCATTCTGTCAATTCCTGTTATCCTTTATGACTGATATCGTAATAAACTTAACTTACACAATCGCATATAAGACTGAAGTTGTATTATATTACTTCTATCTCTTTTCAGGATAACCAAATACAATATAACATAGACTTGTATTGGGCCACTTACTTCCCACATCCTAGGATCCTATCCTGACATGCACGGAGGTAGCTTCGTGTCATGTCACCGTCTACAACAAACGTAGCAGCTGAGCTTTTTTCAGACAAGAGGACCATTGATCCCCAACAACGAGGCCTACAATTTAAAGCACCCCCTCCAAACCCTCCAAAGCGTAAGAGTCGGCTAAATCTCCAGAGTCGAGGCTCGAATGGAAGCCAAGAGCTAAGGTCTCCGGGTAGAACACAGGCCTTAGTCCCAACTAATTCGCTGCGATGGCCTACGGGCTTCCAGGAGCAACGATGATCTGGTCATGGGTGGACCACGCAAAAATGCAGAAGTTCATGCCCGGGGAGCATCTAAGCGGGGTGAACGAACACAATGGAACAAGTAATGCTACTGTCGATCCATTGAATATTCTGTTCTTCTTACTTCTGATGTTATTCTCAGACTAACCCCAGGGCTCCAAGTATACAAAAAGTACCGAAATCGGGGTCTCAAGAGTATACATAAGTAGGTCCACACACAGAACCACATTTTATCAGCCCCACGGTAATGTTCTTCTTCGTCCTAGGTATTCGCGTTCGCAGTCGTCGCGTGGTCGTGGTCGTGTTCGTCGTGGTCGACATTGACGTCGCAGTTGTTGTGATACTCTTGTAGGGTAGTTGTCTTCGTGTATGGGATTCTCTAATGGTCCTGGTCCTAAGGGTCCCGGTGCATTGTTGGTGTCTGACATCGACAAATAACAACGCATGTTGTGGCCCGATCTCATCTGTTGTTTATTGTGTAATATAAAAGACTGAAGGCTTGGGGTATAGGGCTTAGGGTTTAGGGCTGAGGGTGTAGGGCTTAGGGTTTAGGGCTTAGGGTTCAGGGCTTAGGGTTTAGGGCTTAGGGTTTAGGGCTTAGGGTTTTGGGCTTAGGGTTTTGGGCTTAGGGTTTTGGGCTTAGGGTTTAGTAATCGTTTTGGGTATATCCGGGATAAAAAGGGCTCAGATTTGTAGCAGTCGGTGTCTATATCCGGAATACATAGATGAATACAGTACCAGAGTATAATAATGAGAACATAATCATAGAGTAGCCGTGGAAGTGGTAGTCCACGGTGAGGTCGATGTCGTCGACAGCCTGCAACGGAGGGGCTTAAGAGCACAACAGTCAGAAAGCAAGAGCAAGCGCAGCACTAAAAACGAGGCTAGATTTTTTCGGGCTCACTCAGCTTCGCGAGTCTTGCACGTCAGGCATTGCATATGGACACGGCGTGCCCGTTGCAGCCTCGTGCTCCTTCCAAGCCCACCTGATGCAGGCTATTGCAGCGGAACGCATGCTGCCTTTCTCAGCAGTATAAGTGCAGGAAAACGAGAAAGGGGGAAAGTCCCGCGGATAGCAAACCTTGAATCTGTGATGCCAGGTTGTCTCCCTGCTCAGAGAACAGCCGGCAACTTCAGGAATGTACCCCTGCACATCAGCTAAGGTCAGAGAAGCCTTGTTCAAAAGAGGCATTGCCTTCTTCCTTGTCGTCTTGGCTTTCGCCTTCGCGGCGACCTTCGGTGGTTGCTTCCAAGCTTTGGACTCTTTGATGTAGTCCTCGAGTTCCTCCATTTCCTGCTGGTCCAATCCCTCAGCTGCTATTTCGGAGTTGGCATCCAAAAAAGAAGGTGCCTTCTGCTGAGAGCCGCGTTTGGACAAAATGTCCTGAAACTCCGAAGTGGTCAGCTCAGCAATGAGGAATTTGCACAGGATGAACAAGTAGTCCACCATCAGCTTGGGCTTCGTGCCTTTGTCCACCGCCAAGTAGTCCGTCAGCATGACCAGCTGCGCCAGCGTCATTCCAGGAAAGCCAACTTTGGCGGCTGCTTTCAGCAAGCCTGAGTTGGGTTCAATCACTCAAGCTTTGACCCCGAAACTTAAACCCCAGGAGACCCACAAAACCCTAGAACCTGAAACAAAAGCACTAAACCCTCAAAGTCAAAGCCAGGATACTGTACCCTGTGCCATCGGTACGGAGTCCGACTCGGCCATGCAGAGATGAAGGCATCAGCATGGGGGGTACAGCTTTCAGTGCGCAAGACTTCCACCCACTTGGGTTTGTGATGGCAAGCAGCTGAGGGTGCTCTGCTGCTCTGTCTGCCAAAACAAAAACAGGCCCAGTCTCAGTCTCAAAGCGCTCGAGCTGTACCACCAGCACCCCATAAATACTGGTGCCAACCACCCAGTAGGCACGCTGTCCGAGGTCAGGACGCCACAGAAGGTAACCAGGCATTGCCAACAAAGCAAGATACCCTTGTCTCATTGCTGAAAAATTCCTGGAACTCAGCAAACAAAGGGTCGCAAGGCCGCCTTGGTTGTAGGATGTGACTCCAAACGTCTCCTTCTGACTGACCATGTCTTTCAGAAACTTGGCCCCCAAACTGCAGTACTTGTCAGATGCCTCACTCAGCGAGTTGTTGACTTTCAAGTCAGCACCGGGTTTCACATGTGAAATAGTCGGTGATATCTGGCAGCGGCCGTTCTCCGTCAAAACTGACGTGTGAATAAGCCGGTTCCACCGGCCCATTCGAGTCAGCTGTCCAGAATTGGTGCTGGCACGGACATCGTCTGTGAGACATTTGAACGCCTGTTCACAGACCCTGGACGTGGCAAGGGATCGGAAAACCTGGGGCAGCATCGGAAGCAAACAAAAAGATCCAAAACCCTAGCAGAAACCTCTACCTATGGAATAACACCCAATTTCGACACTAAGCTTTAAATTTACACTATTTGGCCATTCCATACCCTGTGCCTTCTCCAGCTTGTCAGAAACATCAGAAGGGAGCTCTTCGAAGTCCATTTCAGCGAGGGAGATCAGAATTTCACGACAGAAGCTCGATCTTGGCCAGAGAAGGCTCTCCAGGAAGTTCTTCAGCCAGCTGTCACAAAGTGCCACTGCCTCAGCATTTGTCAACTGATCCCACAAGGCTTTCATCTCCATCAGAGCAGCCCGAGCTTCCTCAGGCTTCCGGGAAATCAGCTTTGCGAAGCAGTATGGGGGTCGGTGGCAGTACAGCTGCATGCAGACCCACTCCTGGTAATACATCTTGCATGCAAGTTGTGTCATTGTATTAGCCAGGTATTCATCTTCCTTGGCATCCCCATTCAGCGCCTCCCTCGAGAACCCAATTCGGGTCAGCAGTTCTGCATCACAAAGTGTCTCAAGGACACTGGAAAGATACTCAGTCATGAAACTGCCCAGGGAAGTCTGAATATGCCAGTTCAGGACACCATCCGGCTCAGTAAAGGCCTTCGTTTGCCTCAGTGGCAGCTACTGGGAATCAGGGTTATGACCTGGGATTTTGCTTTTACAAACACCATCACATAACACGAATCCTGGCATGCCCCTGAGTCTCTCTCCATGGGCTATCAGCAAAGGGTAAGCCACCTTACCCATCATGGTTGCCGTGCACCTTCTGCACCTGTCACCCAGCCACCAAAGGCACATCTGCAGGTTGCTTTTGAACTTCTTGCTCAGCTTCGTCCTTTGAAATTGCGCTTCAGACTGTTTCATACCAGCTGGGGCTGGATCATGATGTGGTGGTGCCTTTGATGAGGATGAAGCAGCTGCAGCATTGCCGTCGTCATCACCATCATCATCTTCCACCATGATATTGCTGAACGATGCACCACCGAGTGGGGTATCATAAATGCTCTTGTACCATTGTTCAGCAAAACCGAAGACCAGTATGGCAAAGAAGACAGCTCCACTGTATTTTTCGAGGCGGCTGCTTTTTGCGGTGAAGTTGTGCCACCTTCCAGTCTTCACCACCTCATACTTCTGGAACCAGATGGGAAGAGTCCTCAGCCATTCCCAGACTTCTTGTTGGTGCTCAGGTGAACCATAGTTGAAAGGAAAAACATTCATGTGCTTGGTCTCAGTGAGAAATGGGTAACAGGCCTGAAATAGCGGATGTTCAGGTGATTGTGTCGAGAGGAATTGCTCCATGGCTCCATGAAGTTTTCCGAGGTTACCTGCCCCTTGCCAGGGGCCCGCCATCAGGTTCAAAACCAGCAGGGCCTCGATCTTCAAAGCATTCAGGCCAGCCTTGCAACAGTTGGATCTGTGAAGCTGCATGCTACAAAGGCTTTCAGGAATTCATAGAAAGAAGTCGAACTGAAGAAATAAGTCAGGGTGCTTGTTTGAAGGTCAATTTGACATTGTTGTCTCTTCTATGGACAACATCCAACCATTCGACGAGGCCTTATCAGGCATGCAACACCATGACACTCTAGGGTTTCTTTCTCAGGCATTTGAAGTGGTCAGTTTCAAGTCATATTGAGGTCTGCTTGAGGTTCCATTTGAGGTCATGTTCTTGAGGTCCATGTGAGGTCCGTTTGAGGTCCGTTTGAGGTACGCTTGAGGCCCATTTGAGGTCTTTTTGAGATCAGTTCGAAGAACGTGCTGTGTTTCTACAGCATCAGGTGAAAAAAGACTACTCTACTTTATATACATTTATATATCTATATGTATATCTACAATCACCCTCAGCAAATATCACATCTCACAGGTCTACTAAAGGCCCTGCACCAAGAATCGCATGCCCTCAGAGTAGTGACTGTGGCACCGGCCAGGCCAGGCTGCAGAGCCCTGGTCCACAAAGTTGATCAGGAGGGGTGCTTTCAGCTCATGCACGGCCTCGAGCTCAGTTTTGCCATCAGGGTGCAGTCGGCAAAGGCGTTTTCGGCGGCCAGGTGCTTCAGCTTTCACCTGTTCAGGCAACAAAAGACTCAGGAAAACCCGATGCTTTTCCTGAATCGAAGCCAAGTGAAACGAACGTATCAGGGTCTGTTCAGAAATAGTTTATGACATGTCATCAATACTGTCTCAATACTGCTATGGGCTGGCCTCTTCAGGAAGCTCTGCTTCAGGAACAAAGAACCTTGTTTCTCCACCACGAAGTGGTCGAGGACGCTGTTGAGGTCGAAGACGGACCAAGCCCCATCCGACACCCTTTCTCAGGGTCTTGTCAAGCATAACGAGCTGCTCCTGAGAGAGGGCCATGTCATCACCATGTAACCATGACATCCAACAGACATGTGGATGCATGTGACATCCCCAGGCTAAGAGTATGAACCCCAGTCCTTGTTCGGAACCAGTGCCTTTTTCAAAGGCTGCAGTGCCTTGCGCTTCTTGTGCATCTCAGAATCTTCGGGCAATGGTTGCTCGAAGAATCTTTCTGTGTGCTTCGCGTAGTTTTCCTGGTAGGCCTGGACCACATCATCAGCATCGACAGCAGGGCCAGCATGAAAGTCTTTGGATACCTGCCATACATGTCAGTCAGGTGGACATCACACAAAAACAATGCAGCATATGTACACTGTTTTACAACACTTTGTGGTAACGACGGACAGGTCACCATGGGCGGCAGCCATGCTGAGCAATCGCCATCAGCACTCCAGGCAGCGAAGATCGTCACTTCTTCAGCAGGGTTCCCCAGCCGCTTGGCATCCGAGCTGATCGACATCACTGTTGCCTGTGTCAGAGAATCAAAAGGTATGGCCATGCCAAAATAGGAAGATTCAGCAGCAACTAGTGCAACAAACATATGCTAGCATTGAAACAGGGTGCTTCAGAAAGCTTTTCCCGACAGCACGCCATATAGCTTCCAAGCTCCTTCCACTGCCAACGTACAGGTGCTCCACTGCTGGTGGGTTTGTTCGTCTTCTTACTCTTCCATAACCCAGACTGCCGACAGGCTTGGCTGGCAGTGCTGTAGCGGCCATCCTCGGTGCCTTCCTTCACGAAAGCATACTTCAAGTCTTCATCGATTCTCAGTCGCCTTTTGGTGCCCCACAGTGTGCAGGTTTTGCCTTGGTTCGAACACAGGGGAAACCCTATTCAATCCATGTGTCCGACACGGGAAGTGAAACAGTGCGAAGACCAAGTGATCTGGGCAGTGCTACATGTATTCCGAATCCACTAACTTTCGAAGGGAGCTCCTGAAACAAGAGACAAGATACCCATGTCAGCACGTGGTAGCACTGATACTGCATCATCCAGAAGTGATGTTAGCTTCATGAGGAGCCGTATGTGCACCACATTGACAGCGCTGCAGCTATCCTTCCTGGGCTGTTGCATGAGGCCGTACCAAGTGTACATATGCTTGAAAATTGGTATAGGATAGCGAAATATAAAAATCTTTCAGATTGGGCTAGCTTCGTGGCCACCAAGAGCCATCCCCATTTCTTGGAACTGGTTCTCAGGATAGCATCCTGGTGGCAGCATCTCGGCTCATTCCGGCACCCACGAGTCGATGCCACAACCTCTTCCAGCTCAGCATCCGCCACTGCCTTTGTCAGGGGTATCATTTTCGGTGCTGACAGTCACAGCTATCATTTTATGGAACCAAGATTTTGAGTAATTTGTGTGTATTGAGGCATGATAAAAATGCGAATCATGCAGAAGCACAATGATGTGTAAATGCTGGCAGCTACCAACCTGGCCTGCTTGTCAGCAGGGAGCACTGCAGCAACCAGAGAATTTATGAACTGCTGGTAATGTTCACGCTCCTTGGACTGCTTCCTGTACAGTGCCCCATCAGCAGCAATGGCTAACACAGTCTCCGTAGGGACACCGTGCTCTTCATGCGTATAGGGACCCGGTTGTTTCCCTTGGGCAGCCAGGCTAGCTCTGTTCAGGAACAAAGCTTCATCTTCTGTCAGTCCGTAGCTTCTCATCAGGATGTACCACTCCTTTCTGCTTTGGTGGAGAACTTTCTTGACATCCAACTTCAACCTTTGAGGATTCAGAACAGCCAGCACTCGACGGAGTTCCCAAATAACTTTTATGTTGGCCACCCATGCTTTCAGCTCCAGGTTGGACTGCTGACTGGCATCCGGAGAAACAGAATTTTTTCGTAGTCCTGTCAGCTTTACCAGGACTGGTTTCATAGGCTCACGAGTTGCCATGGCTGGTCTCAGTGAAGCAGCTTCTGCACCATTCAGTTTTGGCAAATTGTTTCAAAACCTTGACATCAGCTACATTTACATTCTTTTATTTCTTACAAGGCGCCTCCACCCTGTAATAGTGACTATAAGGATTAGATAGGAATATATTAGGGCCCTATTATATTCCTATTATACCACTATTACAGGGTGGTATAATATTCCAACTTATTCCCTTCCAGCTGCTCGATCCTCTCAGATGCTCGAGGCCGGGGTGCAGACTGCACATAAGCAACTACAATTTGCCGTCCTTGGCACGGACTGTCGCTCAGCAAGCACATGCCTCAGATCATTCTCTAAGTCAAATATTGGCCTCCACAACCAACCATGTGATTCAGGACCATGTCTCAGCCTGGGCACAACTTATACCAAAACATTCGGGAATGCGAAGCATTTCATGGCATCCTTGCAACCATGTAGCAAACTCATGATCTGGAACCGAGTAGTCAGTCAGACAGCAACCACACAAAGAGACGGCAGAGACAGTGTAGGCCCCGAGCCCTGCGAACATCAGGACAGAGTTCAGATGGCCTTGGCGTTTCAAGCTGATGAGTTGAGCAAGTTCAGGCATGAAGCCACGGCCTCCGAAGTTTGGCACACAAGATGCTGCTCTCGCCTGATCGGCGCAAGCCACCAAAGGCCGATAAATTATTCGCACATGGGCTGCCTTTCTACCACCAATGTCTGGAGAAGGCCCAAGCTTCTGCAAAGCCTCCCGTGCCTGCCACGTGAGAAAATGTTCAGAAGCCTTCATCAGTCAGACAGCAACCACACAAAGAGACGGCAGAGACAGTGTAGGCCCCGAGCCCTGCGAACATCAGGACAGAGTTCAGATGGCCTTGGCGTTTCAAGCTGATGAGTTGGGCAAGTTCAGGCATGAAGCCACGGCCTCCGAAGTTTGGCACACAAGATGCTGGCAACAGTCTTTTCAGTCGTCTTAGTGCCCTCATGCCCCAGTAGTCGGTGGAACAGTCAGCTGACTAGAGGCGTCAGCTGACCTCATCAAAAGACCCTCTGCTGTTGAGATTCTCTGATTTTGATCAGGACACCCTGCTGTATGCATCACAGCAACACCACAAGCAATATTCATGTTCATCTGCAGAGAATCTCTGATGCGAGCTCACAGAATTTCACTGGGTAAAAGGAGGCAACCTTCGTCAGGAAATTCTTGCCCCGAATCCCGCTCAGCTTCTGGTGCCGAAATCTTTTGCCGCACTTACATCCACGGTACAGATCACGCACATTCTCAGGAACACCATCACCCCAAAAGCAGAGGCGCGTATACTTCCTGGAAGCACTTCCGAATGAGCACTGTGCCCATGTACCAGAAGACTTCATTCTGGACCTTGTCAGACACAGGTCTTGCACAATCGGAGTGGTTGGTCGAAACATGATGTACTGCTCACTCCAACTCGCATGAAAAGTTAGACTGCAGCTGATGTGCTGCAGCCTTTGCAAGCGTGGATGCTTCCACAAGCGAGATGAACTTGGGTTCCTTAGTCTTCTATGAATCAAGTAGAAATGAAAATGGAGGAGAGGACTTTCAAGTCAAGCTGTAGTAAAACCGTCAATGCTCAGGAAGGCTCTCCACAGCTATCCAGATTTGCTTCCCTTTCAACTTGCTGACGGTCTTGACCAGCTTACAGGTGAAGTCCACCATCCGGTTGGCTGCCTGTGGGATGCTGTGCTTTAACCTCTCGATGTCCAAGTCCCATGCTCACAGAAGCGAACCCAGCCTCGACCCTGATCTTCTGGGCAGGTTTCAGGTTTGCCAGACCATAGATTCCAGGTTTGTCATCCGAGCCTCGATTTCTGAAAGTTGTCTCGGCACTGTGCAAAATGAAGTTACATGCACGGACACATAACCAAGTCACGTAATGGAGCTGGCCAACCCCGCTTTCCAGGCTTGCCACGACGGGCACGGCTCCAGGTTTCACATGGCACCGCCACCCACACACCTGACGAGCATTCAATCCAAGGATGTGAACCGGAACCCTGCAATGTCAGGTGGCACCAGCCTTTGATGTGCCCCTGTTTCAGTCGCTTCAGGATGTTGTCCTGGTTGGCCTGCCAAGACAGATTCTAGAAGCATGCTGAATGGATGCTGTGTCAGGTCAGTGATTGTCACATGCCATCGCAGACCTTCTCCAGGAGGTCTTCTGTGCTGGACCGGGCTACCTCGTAGCACTCGACCTGAAAGCCCTCTGTCTGCCCTCGTCGGGCCATTGCCTCAATGCAGCCGAAAGGCTTCAGAGTCCCAGACTTGAGACACAGCATTCTGTAAAAAAATGAGGCACTTGCAGCTGCAAGCCTGCAGCTGCCACTGAAGAGGTCCAGATATACTCCAAGCCCTTTTGTCAGAATGAAACCATGATGGCCTTGTTCAGCTGGTGCTGCATTGGGAAATTGCTTTGCCAATGCACTCAACTCAGTTTCAAGAGAATCAGCACTGACAGGGACATCAGGAGCTTCTCTCTTCAGACTTGGCTTCGGTGGTGACCACTGCGAAGCCTGCTGAATTGCAGGCTGCTGGAAGCAGCAGCCCCATCCCTTCAGTGAGCATGGATCCTTCAGCTTGCTCCAGCCTGACATCTCTGCTCTTCAGCTGGTTTGAGCCCCTTGTATGTGACCATGGCAGTCAACAGAAAAACACCGAAGCTTGCAGAAAATGTAAGAGCAACTGACTACACACGGTCTCCATCACAGACTGACAACACTGGCATGGACAATCATTTTGACGTTCTGGCATGAACAAACAGTGCGCTCAATGGTGCACGTGCCACCATGCGCTGAAAAGTCGTTGAAGATATAAAAGATCCTGAAGTCGGCCTGTGCGATCGAACAGTTCATGGACCAGCAAGCGCAAGCCATTCACCTGACGCTGAAGGGAACACACATGTTTGGAAACCACACTCATTGTACTCGATGATGATGACAAGGAAGGTGCATCGTCTTGCTCAGTAACCCCCGGGTCTTGCTGAGCAACCTCGGGGATGTCAGGATTCATGGTGCCAACGCTCTGGGATTCGCGGATGCTGCGCCAAGAGAACATGCCCAAGTCAATAGTTCAATCCGAACCTCTGGCTTTCTTCCGACGTCTCCCCAGATCACTTGCTCTGGACCCACAAAGGAATGTAACTCAGAGCACAAGCCCAGCTATCAGCAACTCGGGCCGAAAGAAAGAATCCATTGGTCACTTCCAAGTGCCGAAAGACAGGGCTTTCTCTAGCTGTCGACATGTATGTGCAACTCAGCAGAGCATTTTGCAACAACATTGCCTCAATTGACACCTGCGGCTTGTCCTGTCATTCGACAGAGCATCCACAGAGATGCATGGATAACAGTCAGATGGGACTGCTACAGTGTCCTACGTGCTGGATGCAAGGATCTCTCAGACCAAAGCATTGTCAATCAACAGCGAATGTGCATACATAATGCATGGATAGTTTCCAGATGGGACTACTACAGTGTCCTATATGCTGGATGCCAGAATCTGTCAGACCAAAGCATTGTGCCATCCCTATTTACACAGAGCCTCGAGATCCGCATGAGCCAAAAATGGACACTTCAGACTGCAGAACAGAATCAGATCTAGCAAGTCAGGGTGTCATCAGAGAGCACAGTCACTGTCATAGGTGTGTGTGTGTGTATGTGTGGTTTAGACTTCATGCAACACCATCTGAAACCGTCCTTCAGCTCGGCCTAGGCTTTTGCCTTTGCCTTTCCCTTGGCCCTCGGCTTCTTCTCCGGAGCCTGCATCTTGGCCTTCGTCATCCCCTTGGGCAGCGTCCACCGGCGCTGCAGCTTGACCACTGCGCCTACTGGAAAAAGGCTTCCAGGATTCTCAGAATCCATCGGGAAACATGGCAGCACAAAAGCCACCGTGAAGAGCGTGTTGTTTTTGACAGCTGTGAGGATGTTCTTGGTGTCCTTGTCAGGAGGCGACCAGAACAGCTTGGACTTTGCTTTCGGTATCTCACCTTAGTGCACCGAGGCCCCGAAACATAGAAGCAGGGCGCATGGACTGAAGTGTTCAAATGTCCCTTTCGGTCTGCAATTGAGGCACCGTTCTTCACCACACCCTTCCCCTTGATCTCAGTGACATGGGGTGCCTTCTTCATGAACTCTGCAAAAGGCTCGAGGTCACTGAGATTACCATCTTCGTCGATCACCACGACCTTCGACGTCTTCGTCAGATTCCACTGCACAGTGTGCTGGGCTTCCTCGGCAACCAGGTCACCGTTTTTGATGACGAAGATGGTAGTGTTTTTCTTGATGCTCCGGGTCTTCTTCTGCTTGGCAATGCATCTCAGGTGGCCATCATGAACGGAGAAGTCAAAAGTCCGAAAAGCAGACTTAGCAGAGGAGTCATCCTCTGCTGCATCGTCGTCCTCAGCTGCATTGTCCTCATCGGTCTTATCTTCCTCAGACTCCTCAGCATCATCACCAGAGCCAGAGCCACTGTTGTCACTGCCACTGTCCGAAGAACTGCTTGTCTTCTCCTTTTTTTTCTTCTCATCCTCGTCCTTGCCCTCCTTCTTCTCATCCTCGTCCTTGCCCTCCTTCTTCTCATCCTCTTCCTTGTCCTCAAAAAGATCATCAAGACCTTGGTCAACACCATCGGGCTCCGTCAGTGGAACAGGGGCAGTGCGGCCCTGCTCTTGAACATCCTGGCTGCCAGTGGTCTTCTTGCCGGCCACGTGGAACGCCAAAGCAAGCTCACCAGTCCAGGGTGCAATGTCCACCGGCGACAGCAATTTCAGGACAGGGTTCGTAGATGTCGAGAAGGACCTCATATCAGGAGGCGTGCGTACAAACAACGAAACAAACACTTCGAAACGACATGTTTCAGCCAGAGCACCACTCAGCTTCCAAGTGAATCAGATGCCGGTGCATTTCATTGGAAGGAGCCACATGCAGAAATGCCGCCAAGTGCTTGTCCAAGCTCATAGACAAAGATGTGTTAGCAGGTGATCCGAACTGAATGTTAAGGGCTTTCTGAGTGCCCTCAGGAAGCTGCTTGTGAGTGCACCAGGCGCCGGTGACCTCCAGAATGGTGTCACGTGCTCTGAACCTGAGCATTTCAAGCGGTCAGCAATGAACAACAGTAGATCAGGCATGAGGACAAGCTGTATTGACTTCTGTTGCACATTGCACACTCAGCACAAAGCATCCTTGTTGGTTGCAGCGCCAAGCCATTGTGAAAACAGGACGGAACAATGGCGAGAGAGTTGTCCAGCATGCCTGCTTTAATCTGAGACATTATGCCAATGCATTCAGGTGGCATTCAGACATCCCCACTGAAGTTTAAAAGAGAAAGCAAAAGCTGCCACGAAGCATCATGAAACCCCAAGGTAGCCAGCTCAGGCCAGTTACCTTGCCAGAAAATCATGTTCTGGGGAAGGCGTGCTGTGACAACCTCCTGAAGAGAAGGCTCACGGCCCAGCACCTTGCGCGGTGCGCTGGTCTCCGGAAAGGGACCTGAAGGGTCTGTGAGAACCAAAGGTCCCGAGGATGGCACCTCACACGTGAAAGGCAAAGTCTGTCCCACTTGCCAGATGAGTACAGAAAACAGTGGATGGTGGCAGAACAGGCCTCAAGTGCCTTCAGAGTCGACTCTGCCCGAGTCTTTGTCAGGTACTCCATCAGCTTCTCAGACATAGAGTCAGCAACATGAAGCTGGGGCATCTCTTTCTCTAGCTCCATCAGCAGACCGTCGGTGTCACTCTTGTTCCTCATCACAATGTGCAAGGTCTCTCTTTTTACTAGACAGCACGTTTCATTGGCATGCAGACGTCCTCTTCAGCTCGCGTGTGATTGTTGGGCTCAGGCCATCGTTGATCTTTTTGGCAAGTGCAGTTCGGCGCCCTGGAGCAATACCCCACACTGCACCATGCCAGGAGCAGCCTGGGTTCAGCAGAACAGCGAAGGCATGGCGATGAAACGGAGCAACTAGCCACCTGGATGATTCTCCATGATCTCATTCAGCAGCTGCCCATGTCCGGCTTCCATCTCAAAAAGAAGGCAATCGGACAGGTCGATGTTGAGACCGGACAGGAGATCCTGGGCCAGTTGACAGTGTTGCTGATGTGCATGGGCATGGTGATGGAATGAGCAGTCGGTGCATGGATACGTGTATGTGTGTATGTTAAAAAAATAAATAAATAAATAAATAAATAAATATATATATATATATATATATATATATATATTTTTATCAGAGCTGAGGCAAGGCACAGCATAGAACTTTTGTCCCCATGCTTTCTCTGTCCCGATCGAATGGCGATTCTCGCCACGGAGTGTGGCTGATGTGTCGACCCTGAGGTTGAGGAAAGCTGCTTTGCCAGCCACAATGTCCTCGCTATCACAGTCTCTATCTTATCGGAGTCCTGACCTTAGAAGATGATGTGGATGGGCCCTATCACAGTGCCCAAGCCAGCGATGGGCCCTATCACAGTGCCCATCGCTCTCTATCTTATCGGAGTCCTAACCTTAGGCGATGATGTGGATGGGCCCTATCACAGTGCCCAAGCCAGCGATGGGCCCTATCACAGTGCCCATCGCTCTCTATCTTATCGGAGTCCTGACCTCCATGTAAGGTTGCTGTCGATCAGGGCTTGAGGTTAACAGAAAATGGGGTTTCACAAGGATGCTTTCAGGCACTTTGTTGATCTGCTGTTGACCTCAGTATTAGGAAACCTTGTCACACTTCGGAAGAAGCCTAGGTGCTGTCGAAAGTCCTTGCACCAGCAATCGGCATCGTAAATCAGCAAGATGTGGCAAGCTGAAGGCGTCTTGTCCCAGTCAGGCTTCTTGCTCAGCACTCCAAAGCAACGACAGACATTGCATTTGTCAAGCAGCTTCAAAAGCTCAATCTCAAGGCTTGTCACAGCTGCACCCAAGGGCAGGATCAGGATCTTCAACACATTTGCCGAACTCATGAGCACACCTAGACCATGCGCATCAGTCTTACCTTCACTGAAAGTAGACATGCATTCAATGTATAGCATGCAAGGCTCTGCCAGGTTGGAAACCCAACGCAGAGACAGTGATGTCAGGCAAATGCACAGTCTCCTCCATGAGGTTGAAGTCCATAAGCAGCACAACCTTCTTGTTGGCAGCCATTTTGATCCAAGCTGCCGGCAAGTCTTTCGCAGTCTTTCTGACTTCCATGATGCTGAATCTGGCATCCACCTGTCACATGGGCTAGACCCTGAAGCATACATGTATGTTGTTTTGAAGCCCTCAGCCCAACGCCTCAAGCTATAACCCCAACACCCCATACGATTCAAAGTCTATCCAAGCTTCCAAGCACTTCCCACTAAACCGCTCACAAGCTCAGCACAACAGGCATGGCAGTCCCACCTCCCCTTTGACAGCATGGCTCAGTCTCTCCTGCGAGTCCGTGACGGTAGCCACGGCCTTGCTCAGTAGATCTTGAGCCTTCTCTTTGGAGACGTGATAAGCTTCTTTCAGGAGGGTGGTGGAGATCTCTTTCAGAACTGTTTCCTGATCAGACGCCATCTGCTGGTCCTTGATCAAGGACAGCTCCAGCTGCTCACGCTGCCTTGGCCCAGAATCAGTGCATGAAGTGACATGTGTTTGGAATTCTCAAGGAGGACTGCTCTGCTGTCCATGTTGTGGCCAAGTTACCGTTTCAGCTCTCCTAACTCCTGCGCTGAGTCAGCTTGCTTTCGTTTTTTCAGGAGCTGGCGCACTGCCGGCCATCGGTCCACAGGTGACGTCTCCACAGAAGCATCACAGCAACCACTGGCGAAGCTGTCAATCAGAAACTCGCGCTCTTCCGGATTCCAAGCATACTGCTTATGCTCGAAAGCCTTGTGGTACTTCAGGGCCTTCTCCCTGAGAAATGCACGCCTGGATGCAGGGACATCGACCTTGTGGAAAATGCGGCGGATGCTGATGGCAGTGGACTTCTCGGGCTCAAGGCAAATCAGCAGGAATGCATCCTCAGCCTGAATGCATGGATAGCTGGAGAATATGGTCGAAACCCGAAATGTGAATGACAAATATTGCTCATGCAGGTGCCTCCTTCAGAGTCCTGGCCACAAACAGCTCTTGCGCCAAAGCCGATGGCATCGATTGATTGGTTTGCCGTGCACCAGGTAGCAAGCACTTTGTATCACGCCACCAGGATGCAGGCCAGATCTCAGCATTAAAGTATTTCGCAGTCATGCGCTCGATTCTCAGGATCGCTGCTCGGTCAATTCTCCTTGCCATGGATTCCAACCGCTTGTAAGGAAAAATGGACTCCTCTTGAGCAAGTGTAGGCACATGTTGCTTGACCTTAGGCACCAAACACGTATCCTTTTTAGTTTCAAAAGCACATTCAGAAAAGTAGGTTTCACATGAAGCTTCAACTATCTGAGTCTGGGGCGAGGTCTTTGAACTCAGTAATGTTCAGCTTGCACTGCTCCATGAGGCTCAAAAGTGTGTACACAGAGAAATCCGTTGTGGCATGCTTGGATGTCGCACAATGTGCCAGCCCTGGCAGTCAGGTCTGACATGAGGAGTTCAAGCTTGACACGTTACTCGTGTTTCAAAACCAGGGCAGCAAAACAGGCCTGTGAACATCGCAGACACCTTACTCACGGCATAGACGGTGACAGGGACTTTCTTGGCCATGAGCATGGTCCACTCAGGATACTGTTGTCGATCACACAGGTTCTTCCAGCCTCAGGAAAGAGTTCATGCAAGTGCAGAGTCAGTGCAGTGAAGTGATACATGTGGGCAGGCAAGACACAGAACCACAAGGCGAAGTACAAAGCACAGGCTCGCTGGTGCCCACTCACGAACGTCAGGACTCCCCCTGGAGCAGAATGTTGCAGTTGGCCATGCTTGCATGTCAGCAAGCAGACACAAATCCACCCCCGAGCCTTCTGGGTCCAAGTTCATCGATATGATGCCCGGCGGCCACTTCCCGAGCACGTCGTATGCCGCCACCTTCTGACTACCCCAAAAACCCAAGGCCATTCAGAATTTACTATCCTATAAGAATCCTTGAAGTTGAAAAGATCAGTTCAAAGCCAACACGCTTTCTCGAGCAGCGTTGTCGCTGTCACCGCCCGCCAGCCCACATTGGCCGTGACCGAACACGGCAAGTGAAAAAGCCCGCATTCAGAACTTTCAAGGCTCAAGGCATCGCAGGGTGTGAGGCTTTTGAGGAAATCGAGGAACAGAGAGTCACGACCCATGGCATCACTCTCAGTCTCGATATTCACGCGCAGGATCCAAGTCTTGAAGTTCTGGACGAACTGTGAGCTCTCAGGCTGTGACTCCGCATCACTCATAACAATATCCTGCAGCCAGACGTGTTAGAGGCCACATGAATCATGAGAATTCTCAGGAAGCGGAGACAGACATGGGAACTTGACAAACCTCCCAGCCCGGGGTCCTGAGCCCAACCATTGGAGCTATAGGGGGGAAACGTTGTGTTAATATTGAAGAGGTAATGTCAAATTAATACCATTCCACAGAAAGGCAAGTCCGTGCGGACACAGTGCTTGCATCGGGAACCTGGTACTATCACCCCCAGGTCACCGAACCGCCATCACTCTCGGAACAGAAGTGAAAACCAGCCAGTTCATATTCGAGGACCCCATCCCTTTCTGGACACCACTGGGCTCCACTGCCTGCAGGCCACCTGTGCTTAGGGCCGCGGGCGCTAAGCGCAGGTAGACAAGCCGAGAGCGCATATGACATATGGCATAGCGCAGATCTGTGCTCTCGCAAGGGCCACCTGTGCTTAGGGCCGCGGGCGCTAAGCGCAGGTTGGCCAAACTCAACATCGCGAAATGCAGGGTTTACGGTTGACTGGCTTCGGTGCTCACACTCGGGCAATCCACGTGAAACATGTCGGTGTGCGGTTCGTGGGTGTAGGGTTTGGGAATTGCCGATGTGCTGTCAGGCCAACCTGCGCTTAGCGCCCGCGGCCCTAAGCACAGGTAGTCCTTGCGAGAGCACAGGTGTGCGCTATGCCATGTGTCATATGCGCTGTCGGTTTGTCTACCTGCGCTTAGCGCCCGCGGCCCTAAGCACAGGTGGCCTGCAGCCACTACAGTCCAATGCCCGGTGCGACGGATTCATTCTGACAATGCCGCAAATCACGGCCCTAAGCACAGGTGGCGTGCAGCCACTACAGTCCCCAGCCCGGGGTGACGGATTTTGACGATGCTTGGGGACTCCACAAATCACGGCCCTAAGCACGGGTGGCGTGCAGCCGCTACCGTCCCCAGCCCGGGGTGACGGATTCATTCTAACGATGCTTGGGGACTCCACAAATCACGGCCCTAAGCACAGGTGGCGTGCAGCCACCAGAGTCCCCAGCCCGGGGTGACGGATTCATTCTGACAATGCTTGGGACTTAACAATCCAAATCGTTGCCCTAATCACAACCTCAAGCCACAAGCACTGAGACCTATGACTGCATCACTTCAAAAGCACACGAAGCTTTTGACTGCCGAACTCCCACTTGCAAGAGACATGATGCAACTGTCCTTGTCAAGTTCTGGTGGCTCCACAGACATGGTGGACCGGAGCTGGCTTCCAAATCAGGGGTGCCAGCAATCAGCTTGAACCAGGAGCACTTGCAGAATGTGGTGGGCATGAATCTGTGCTTGCACTCCAGGGAAAGCAACTCTCCATAGAAGCTGGCATGACAGAAGTCTCTGTGTCTGAGACCCAGACCAGCTCCCATAACCTGGATGTCCAGGATTCACATGCCTCCATCAGCCATTCACATGTCGTTGCTCTGTCTGCAAAGCACCAAGATTCATGTTGCACGTGTGCCCCATGAAGTTCTCATCTGTCTGCCACACGGAAATCGTCATTTTTACATGCCTGCAGAACTGCTCTTGGGAGATGGGGTGAAACTAGAAGGGACCTTCGGTGTCCACACAAGCTGTGCCGTGGATGGCGTGTGTACCTCTGGCTCTTGCTCCTGCTTTGGCATGATCGGAGACTCATTTGAGTCTTCAGGACTACGCTTCGCACCCCCTTTGGTTCTGTTGTCAGGTGTGCTTGGGGCCTTGACACTCTCAGAATCTTTCATGGCGTCAGTGAAAAAAAGGAGTGCCAAAGGCTGCCTGAAAGGACGCTTCAGGATGTGCAGCACTGCACGATGCTCCGAATGATTGTTTTCAATGACAGCTCTGTCACCCTCTCTCAGTACGTTGCAGACACGCAGGTTCTTCTTCATGAACTTGTGGCAAACGAGGATGTCACAACCCTCATTTGTTGCCTCATATACCCCCATGACCTGCCAGTCCAATGGTGTGGTCAAAGACACCAACCGACATCGTCGCCCTAGCTGCTCATTCAGATCAGCAGCCACGGAAACAAGGGCTTCTATAGTCCGTTCTTCAGGAAGCCGAGTGTCAGGGGACATGTTCGTGAGAAATTCCACCTGAGCTAGCTGCATACAGGATTCTGGGTGACATGCTCTGCTGCCTGCCAATGCATTTTATATCTTCAATTTGCAAAGCAGAAAGCAAAGGCTAATAGACAAGATGCCAGCTCCAAAAGTGGCCCCCCAGCAATACTCGAAGAACAATCACTGTGCTTCGTTCGGAAACTCAAGTCAGCATTCTGTAGCTCAGGCTCACATCGTCTCAGGACCGTTTGCAGCACCGTGTCTGGTAGCTGGCCCCAATTGGTATGACGTCTTGCCAGCTTCATGTCTAGTGGAGCAGCCACCTCGGGGAGCTCAGGGGCCGGAACGACCTTCTTGGGTTTTTTGCGCACGCCAGCATCCTCAGGAAGTGGTTCTGCCTGTAATACCCGGCAGCCCCAGCCAAGGGGTTGCCTGACAACGCGTTTGTCTTGCCTCTTTCCACCGACATCCCTGGTTGGTCCATCCATCATGGAAAATCTACTGCATTGCGTGTGCCTTCGTGTCTATATCTCTCACTGCCTTTCCCTGTCTCTCTGTTTATTAGTCTTTGTCCCTCTGTCTTGCTTGCTTTCTCTCTGTCCATGAGATCTGAAGCATTCAGGTTTGAGAAACAAGTGTCACTTCGCGGACTTGAAAAGACTCCTGTCGCACTCTGGATGAGCAAACTCGGACCATCTGCAAGCACAACACCCATGCTGCCCAGACAACGTCATAACCATTTATGCGGCAGAAGTTTCCAACAAATCCTCCAGCATCTTTAGTCAAAGCTCGGTGCAAAGCCACAGCAACAGCAGCAACGAGGAATTCTGCCTGTGTTGCCAGAGGATGACGAAGGAGCTGGTGTGACCTCAGGCAGAGTATGCACTCTAGTCCCGGGAGAGAAGGAGTGCATGATCCAAGGCAGCGGAGAGAGCATCCAAGCCCCTTTTTTGTTCGCGGCGCCACGCGATCAAAACTTCCCCTCCTCGTGCAGGTCACGGAGGGTCTTCAGCAAAAGTGAGCCATGAGAATCGTCAAAGTCTGCTGCTGCTGGGTAGTTGGATGGCCTCCGAGCTTGGGCTCGAGCTGCAATCGGCTGCGATATGCTAGGATCACAGACGTGCTGCACAGTCGCGGCATGTGGCATGTGGTCCAAGCAACAGCAAGCTCAGCTCTGATCATCACAGTCAAACAAGCACCCACCCAGCATCAACTAATCCGAGATCCCAGCCCCAGCATCCAAAGGATCAGGAAGTCGCAGCACAGCTGGGGTCGTAGTCGCAACCTGCCAAAAGCGGAGGTACAACAGGTACGGAACCTCTGAGCCCCCATACCTGTAACGAGGCATCAGCGACTCGGAGACCGTCCTCTCACACACCAGGGACCTCAGGAAGGACAGGGGGAGCAACAGGGCAGCAACGAGGCCAGACGAGATCCAGGCCATCCGTACCAGGGCAGAGGGGGCGACCTGCAGGACAGTGGAGCTAGTGGAGCTAAAGGGGGACTTGGGGAGGGCTTCAGGCAGCAGAAGAGACATGGAAGCAGCGCAAAACGAAGGGTACGCAGCGCAAAACGAAGGGTACATGCAGGGCACTCCTACCACGGGCCAAATGGGTTCGGGTGCCCTGAAGCCTAGGGGGGAAGGAAGGCGAGCAAGGAAACCCGAAAGCGGGGAGGGGCCACCCTGCACAGCCGGGTTTTCCTAGCT